GGTTACCTTATATTCCATTTATTCTTCCTTCTGTTTAAGACAGTCTATTTTATCCTGTAATCTACCTGACCTTCTCACCACCTGGATCTCTGTTCCTCTGTGCTTACCTTCTTTCACATTGTAATTGTTTTGATCATAGACTGACCTCCCAGATCGGCTGTTCTTATAATTTTATTCCATTCTTGATGCTATCATTTGTTGATTGAGTTCAGGATGATGCTGCCACATACGTCATTCTCTAGTTGTTGTCTGTTCTTGTTGGTTCTTAGTTCCTAGAACTTCCTTTAGGATGTTTTTCATAGCAGGTTTGACTTTGGTAAAGTCCCGTAGCTTCTGTTTATTAGTAAGAACTTTTAAGAAAATTGAAAACTACAATAGTGTCAGGAAAGTTGTGCCAAGGAGTTTTTTTCTGCAGGACAATGCACCTGCTCATTCTCTGAGGGCAGCAGGGACTGTCCTACAAGGATTTTGTTAGGAAACTTTGCCCCATCCAACATACAACCCTGATCTTGTCCAGTCATTTTTCTTTTTTATTTCCAAAACTTAAAGAACATTTGAAAGAAATTCAATCTGAGTTCTTTGAGGATGCTCAAACTGCCATTTTGCTGAGGTATGAATGGAAGAGTAAAGAGTCTTTGGGGAAGAATTAGAGAAATAGAAACACTGTGTTCAGAAGTGTATAGACCTAGATGTTGGACATGTCAAGAAACAACCACTTCACATTTTTGATAGCTTATTTAATAAAGGTTTCTATAATTTCATAGCAATACTTTTTCTCCTTACCCTAGTACTTACCAAATGAGTTAACTTATGACTAATGCACTGATTCATCTATTAATTCTCCAGAATTATAAAACATGTCAGGCTAAGTGCTAGGAATTAAACAACCGACTCAGAATGATGCCACCTTTGAAGGATGAAAAACTACACACAACCTCACATTTCTTTGGTGAAGAACTCCATGGCTTCAGCTTTTTACAAGGTTGTGAAATCAGGAAAATATTTCTCTGGACTCCTCCTGCCTCTTCTATCTTGGGAAGCTTCACCTCTGCCATCCTGAAAAAGATGAGAGTCAGAAAAAAATGTCATTTTGAGTTTTGTATTGACTGTCATGCCACATCTGGAATGAGGAGTCACTGGTCTTCTCTTCACTTCTATATTCTTCCTGGACAATTTTGACTAAGAAACCTAGGACTTGTTTCAGAGAAATGTTGAAGGAGGAAATGAGGCTGTTTCACTTGGAAAATGCCTTTCAATTCTATTGATATCTATGACTACCTATGTATGCCATGTCTTGCCAATGAGCACGACAGACATAGTCCCTGTGTGTATGGGATTTATACGTTGTCTAGCAGATGAGGCACATAGTTGGATATACCAATATATGCTTCTTGGGCAATCTCTTCCACTATCATCACTTAAATATTCATTTCATTGAAATTACTGGATGTATGTACTTTCTATGGAGTCCTGGGGTGGTGCTGTAGGATAAGCAAGCACTAGATGGTAATTATAAGACTGGTGGTTCAAATCTACCAGCAGTTCCTTGGAAACCCTTTACAGGGTCACGATGAGTTGGAACTGACTCAATGATACTTAACCACAAAAACACCATGCTATCTATATATGTATGCATATATATACACAATAATATAAATATATTATATACATTGTTGTGGTGGTTAAGTGCCATTGAGTTGGTTCCAACTCATAGCAACCCTGTATAGGGTTTTCCAAGGAGCTACAGGTGAGTTTGAACTGCCTACCTTGCGGTTCAGACTGACCTTGCAGTCTAGCCCATTAACCCACAGGACAAACCAGGACACTCTCTCTATATCTATCTATCTATCTATCTATCTATCTATCTATCTATCTATCTATCTATACACACACACACACACACACACACACACATATTGGTGGTTGGTTATGTGCCATGGAGTCGGTTCCAACTCATAGTGACCCTGTATAGGGTTTTCCGAGGCTGCAAATCTTCACCAAAGCAGAAAGTCTGATTTTTCTCCTGCAGAACCACTGGTAGTTTCAAACTACTGACCTTGAGGTTAGCAGGCCAAATCATAACCACTACATTATCAGAGCTCCTGATACATATATGGAGAGAGAGAGTCCTGGGTGGCACTATGGGTTAATGCACTGGATTGCAAAGTCGGTTTGAAATGCAAGGTTGGTTGGTTCAAGCTCACCAAGTGCTCCTTGAAACCCTATACAGAGTTGCTATGAGTTGGAACCAACTCAATGGCACTTAACCACCACAACCTATATATATATATATTTAAATGTCATTAGAAAAATTCCATGATTTTTAAATTCAATTTTCATGAACTTTTTGAAGCCTTCTCATCTATATGCAATATATGCATAAAGATAAATAGATGTAGATACAATCTCAAATTGTATCAGTCAGAATGGACTGATTCTGCTAAGTAATAAACAGTCCCAAAACATCAGTGTCTTATTATTTCATTTTCATTTTGCATGTCTAATGTAAGGCACCAAGGGGATTCCATTTAGTGTGATTACTCAAGTACACAAGCTGATGAAAGTTGGTCTTGTAGTGGAAAGGACATGTGACCAATCACACTGACCTTTAAAAGTACCTCCAGCCCTGAGACTCTGTATTTTAACAAGGGACTTAAAAGTTCAAAATCCTTCAACATCCAAAGCTGTAAATCTCTCATTTTGGGGTTTCAGAACATACTATAATGATGGTAGGCACTTTACCCTGAACTAGAACATCTGCATTATTCACTTCATTGGCCCTTCTATTTTCTCACCCTTTTTACATCCATTGACTTGTTAATTAAATGAGCATGTGCTATGTCTTCTTCTTTTTTCTTTTAATACTCTAACAGCTTCATCTTCATTCCACAAAAAATCTAGTGCATCCCATTTCAAAGGGGATGAAGTACATGCCAAAAAAGTTAGGGATTTATTAAGTGTCTTGAATTCTGTCCACATTCAATCTTATATTCTAATATTCAGTTTCCAGTCTTGAGATAGAAATTTCCGTACTCCTATAGATGACTGTTGATGTTTAGCGCTGTTGAGTCAATTCCAACTCATCATGATCCTGTATAGGGTTTCTTAGGAGTGGCTGGTAAGTTTGAACTGTCAACTTTGCAGTTAGCAGTCCAAGGCTTATCCTACAGCACCACACCAGGACTGTGGATGGATGCATAGGAGTCCCATAAGATCTCTAGTCTTTAAAGGCAGATGCTATCCTTGAATCCCATCACATATGGCAACAATGTGGGGTGAATTTCTAGCAAGGGCCAATCAAAAACAATTGCTAGATTTCTTTTTTCTCTCTAACTTTCCTCTATTAAGAAAATATTATCTGGAAGTTCCATTCCTTTATAAACCTTGAGGCTTGTAGAATATTGAGATGGAAAAGACCTTACAGAATATCTCATTTGGACTTCTTGATGATGAAACTCAAGCCCTAGAGATCACACATCTTATTAGGGGCAGAAGAGAGACCCTGAATTCCAGACCCATGTTTTTTCCTCTATGCCACCCTACTTGCAACACCACTTTACTTGATGTTGTTTAGCATTTACCATATCTACAAAAACGGGAAATTTCATATGAAAGGGCTTAAATTTTTACATCATTCAATTTTACAATCTACTCATTCAGCTTTTACTTTCAAGTGAAATTTGTATTTCTGGCTTTATTTTAGTGCTCATTTTAAACCTGGCTAGCCTAGCCTTCTTTCTTTGCCTTGCCCTTTTTTCAGTGATGTGGTGGGCCTATCAGTCCAGAAACCTGCCTTCTTTTCTCTTTAAAAATCCCTTGCCTACTCCCCTCCTCACACTGAGGCCTGAGTGAGCAGAACTTACGTCTGTGGGAAGAACGGGAAAGCTCAGTAGCTCCAATCTCTTGCCAAGTCCTTGAGGTGTGCTAGTGGCTCTGCGAGGACAGAGATGACATGCCCAGCACTCGGGCCATTCCTAGCTCCTACCCTGATTCCATCTGGAGCAGGTACTAAGAGGAGCTCTGTTCACCCATGCTGCAGTTACATGCATAGTTGTTAAGTGCTGTCGAGTTGGTTCCGACCCATAGTGACTCTGTATAGGGTTTCTGAGGAGTAGCTGGTGAGCTTGTGGTTCAAACCAACTTTGCAGTCCAGCGTGTTAACCCACAGCACTACGGCTTTAAAGTTTCAGTGCAGGTATCTTAAGGAGAATGGAGATCCCATTCCATGGAAGCCAGACGCTGACTCTCTGTGTGCATTCTTCTCTTTGTGGATGTAGGTGAGCTGATGACTGTTCCTATCTTGCTGATTTTTTTTCTGTCTCCCTGGATGTCTCCCTAAATCTTTGTGTGTCTTGTTCAGTCTGCCTTTGTCCTCCCCTTCCCACACTCCTTGTCTCTGCCTCTGCCCTGATCATACCTCCTTTATTTCCATCTCTCCCTTAATTGGCCGTAATTTAGAATGAAAGCCTATTATTCTTATGTTATTTTAATGAATAAAACCTTAACTTTCTCATTCATACATTTAAAGGCTAAGAAGTACAATAGTATATATTTCTCACTTAAACATTCACTTAATTGCAATTTAATTGACATTACCCTGGATTGAATGCTTCCTGTCCTTTAAATCTATGACCATCAATATAAAATTGCCTCCATCCCACCCCATGGAAGTCTAAGGACTGCAGAGATGCTCTCTGGTTCTGGTGCTCTGACACATTTAGATTTAGAGGCAGTGAGGACTGTAGGAGAGTATGGGGCTCAGATGCAGATGAGACCCTCAGCCTCCACTGTTCCAGCATCTCCAAATGGTGACTGGTTCCTGAATGACCCTTATGCACTTGGGTGGGCATGTGGAAGAGGAGCAGATGAGGCAGAATAGGCCCCACCTAAAGATGGACTACATTCTTAGGCCCTTTGAATTCTTCTGGGAGGTTAGGGGCCTGAGGGAAACCAGGGACTCCAAAGAGCCCAGCCGTGGGCTGAGGAGAAAGTGAGGTAAACAAATTAATAACAACAACAATAATATTGGAAAATTTTTACCCAGAGCCTACCTTGGGCCAGGTGTTTTTGTAGGCACTTGAAATGTTTAGCACATTTCATCCTTATAACAAATTATGAGATAAGCAATATTAACCTCATTTTACAGAATGGTAACTGAAGCACAGAGTCAGTTTACCAGATAAAATACAGGATTCTCTCTTAAATTTGAATTTCAGATAGGCAACAAATAATTTTTAGTACAGTATGTCCCTTCTTGTTTGGGACATACGTATACTAAAAAAAATATTTTTTGTTTATTTGCTATTGAAATTTAACTGAGAGTTCTATAATTTTATTTGCTAAATCTGACAACCGTAGCACAGAGAGGTAAAGAAACTTTCTGAAGGTCACACAGCTAAAAGTGGCAAAGCCAGGAATCAAAACCTGACAGTATGGTATGGTTCCGGAGACTGAGTCTTTAATGACCACATCTGCTGCCTTGTCCATCCCTGGATCTGCCTTGTCTTCCTGTCTAGGAGCCTCCATTGTGCAGGACTCTGAGCCTACACTGAGGAGTCTGGCTTGAACCGTCCCTCCTCTGATGGCTCTAGCTATCTGCTATCCCAGCTCCTTTAACTCAGTCTTTGTGTCTTCCAAAATAAAAATCATATTCCATTAAAATCCATGAAATCAACAATTACGTTTTGAGCGCCTGCTATTGTACAACTCTGTCTGCTAAAGCAGTTCTGAATAATAGATCAATATCAGAAAGGGTTAGAGAAGCCCATAAGCCCATCTCCTTCTGGAAACTTCCATTCAGTATCACTCTGATTGACTACCAGGCACTGTTACATGGATATTTCAACCAGGTATCTGGAAACAACATCCACACATTTGTTTTCTACCCCAGACAAATGACTTTAATGGTAGGATTCCCCAGTGGGGTAAAATAGGGGGCATGCAGGGAAGTACCTGGGACCTCGTGAAGGGTGTCTCATTTCTTGACCCATGACTGCTCCTATATGAGACCATCCCAGGAGGACATTTCCCACCTCCTCCTAATGCCCTACCTTATAGGTACTACTTTCCATGCCAACGCTGGCTGGCAGTTGAGGAGGACGATGGCCAACTGTCCAGGGAGCTGCTACCTGTGGATGAATCCTATGTGCTACCACCAGAGGATGAGGAGGGTGGAGGAGGTGACAACAACCCCCTGGACAACCTGGCCCTGGAGCAAAAAGGTGCCCTAAACTCAGCAAATGTTCTCTCCAGCATTCATCCTCATCCCTCAAGGGCATCTGGAGCCTTACCCACCCTGTGTCTCCATCTCTCCTCCCTCCCCTGTGGGATATGGGCATTTCCTCCTCTGCCAAAGTACCTGTCCTTCCCTCTCGTTCCTCCATGGAAAAGAATGGAGAGGTGACATGGAGTGTATCCCACTCATCAATGTTGTTGTTAAGTGCCATCAAATCAGTTCTGACCCATAGCGACCCTATATAGGGTTTTCAAGGAGCAGCTGATGAGCTTGAACTGCTAACCTTGTGGTTCAAACCAACAGTGTAGGCCAGCACATTAACCTGCAGCACCACACTAGGACTCCTGTATAGGACTTGGAATAAATCACATGGCTGAGATGCTGTCATGGGTAGGGTAGGACAGGGTGGGATAGGACAGGAGAATAGATTAGAGCAGAATATATTAGACTGGATTGGTTGTGGCCGGTTCTAATTCAGTCCTGTGTCTTTCCCTCTGGGCACATTATAGATTTTACATATATTTTTTCAAGGAAAAAAAATGAAGAGTAACCTTCAAGAGTCCTATGATGCTTGAGTTTCTTCCCAGGAATTCACATCCCTAAAATTTCTTCCAGCTTGAAAGAGTCAGACCCCTCACAATCATCCCAAGTCTGCCTTAATTATTCCATCAGTTCAGTGGATTTAAGGATGCCTGTGTAAGTCAAAGCTAGGAGAGAGTTCCTATCTATACTTAGGGAGTTTCCATACTAAAGGCAACTACAGAACAACACATGCCATCAATGAAGTGGTTCATAGGAATGGTCAACATGAACATTATGCACCACGGCATTCACAGATACAGGACTGGAAGGGCAGAGAAGAGTTGGAGTGAGGGAGTAGGGGAGTCAGTCAAGAAAGCCCTCCTAGACAAGGTGGCTTTTCCCACTCTTCCTCTTACTACTCTTATCTCCTGGCAGATAAATCTACTACCTTCTCAGTGACCATAAAGACTGGGGACAAGAAGAACGCAGGCACAGATGCCAACGTCTTCATCATTCTCTTTGGCACACAGGACAATAATGGTAAGAAAGCAAGGCAGGGCTGAGTTTCACCATGTTCCTCCCCAGGGAGACTAGAAGACTCAGTAATAATTTCCAAGGAGATCCTGGTTGTGCCTCTATCTCTTGACAGATTGCATGCCCTTAGCTTTGTCAGAGTTTCTTTTCCCTAAAGATCTCTCCATGAGGTGACTTGCCATGTTGGCTTGTGAAAGTTTATTCCTTAGGAAATTCTTCCTGCGTCTCACTGAGCCAGTCCTCCTACACTGCAGCTCTTTGCTCTCTCTTCAGTCTTCGTAGCTACCAGCCTCCATATGTGTGGAAACCAGGGGAATCAGCTTCCTTTAGCATCTTCCTTTCTAGGCAATGATGCCCAATCCAATGGTCAGTGCTTTTCCGTACATTTCTGAAAGTTTTTTTTTTTTTTTTTTTTTTTTTACCATTTCCTGTCTCCTTTCTGGAGGTGCAAATTTGCCTGCCTTTCAAAACCACAATGGGCTCCACAGTTCAAGCAGCACTTGGTCTCTTCTCTGTATCTTCTGTAACTACTTGTCTTCCTGTTTGAATGACAAAGAGGTCCTAATCCTAATCCCATCCCTAACAACAGTTTAAAAGCTGATGGCTCCTCCCAACTCCTAATGAGATACAGCCAATGAATGTATGGTACCTTCAGCATGAGATTTATTTGTTCTTTTGACAGTCCTTGATATATTCAATATTCTATGCCAACACTATAATTTATAGATTTGTACCTCATAGTGTTGTAAATTGAACAAAATTGAAGTTACAAAACACTTGGGACAAAGTAACACTTAATAACTGTGAATTATGATGTTGTAAGTGTGATAAGACAGATAATGTATAATGAAAGACAATAGTCACTGAACCAATGCCAATGGAACTGAGGGGCCCCTGACAACGTTTTTTCTTTGCTAAGCATTGCCTATGTGTTAGGCACATTTCTTAGCACTTAATAGTCTTCATCGTATTAAATCCTCACATCAATCCTATGGGACAGGCTCTGAGTTCATCCTTTTTTACATTCAAGGAAACCAAGTCTCAGAGACAGTAAGCAATTTGCCCAAGGTCACCCTAGGTGGTAAGAGCTAGGTCCAGAACCAAGCTCTGTCTGTCTGTCTGTGCTTCACCCACTTGACTAGGAGCTTCTGGATACCCAAAGACTACCTTCCCGTATAAGATGGGTCCTGAGCCAGAACTTAAAGATTCAGGGACTTAAAGGAAAAGAGGTCTGTGTTGAGGCTGTAAGGGGGTGGTGCTAACTCTGGACACTTCACATTTCAGATTAACATCCCAGCCAGAGTCCCAGGATAGATGACTGAGTATAAGAAAGCTGGTGGGGGGCATCTGAAGACATCCTTCCTTCTTCTATCCATAGAAGAGTCTTTAGAGAATTCACACATGCCCAATCTCCAACAGGGCACCTACTGGTCCCCCGGAGCTTGGGGACAATGCTTTGTCATTGATGTGCTTTCCATGTGAACGAGAGCAGACATTGGAATGTAGAAAGACAACAGACAATGGAATTCAGGCCCAAATGCTTTCTTTCTCTGTATTGATAAGTCATGTCTTCTCTTGGTGTATCTCTTACTGTAAAGACAAACTGGAGATAGAAAAACATAAACCACAGTTGTTGTTAAGTCCCGTCGAGTTGGTTCCAACCCACAGTGACCCTGTATAGGGTTTCCAAGGAGTGACTGGTGAGCTTGAACCACCAACTTTGCAGTTCAAACGGCTTTGCAGTCTAAACGACTTTGCAGTCTAGCACATTAACCCACAGTGCCACAATTATTGTAAAGCTCAGTCAAAGAACACACACTAAAAAAAAAAAAATGCCAAATATGCAAAGATGCCCAATGGCTGGTAACTGCTTAGTCTAAATCTGATGGACATTCAGAAATTTGGTCATTATCAGGAAGGACTCAATGGAAGAGTCAGACCAAGTTAGAAAGGTCTCAGGCCTAGTCAGTTATGTGGGCCATTTGGTCAACAGGAATGACCCTCCTGAAGTCCTCCAAGACCAACAGTGACAAGTTTGAGAGGAACAGCATTGAAATCTTCACGGTGGAGACGGTGGACCTGGGTGACCTGTGGAAGATCCGTATTGGCCACGATAACACAGGTCTGTTCCCCGCTAAGAATGTAAGGACCTGGGAAAGAATCATTTGGGAAGGATGAGACCTGGGTATCTCCTGTCTTCCAAAACACATCACACAACTTCTTCACGTCCTTGCAGATGCTGGTCTCATTGGTCTGGGGTGGGCCCTGGACACTGGTGTTTACCAATGTCCTTCTACTCTTGGTAATCTGAATGCAGCCAGATTTGAGAATCTCTGGTCTAGCTCCAGATCTCTCAAATTTGAGAGTGCGTCAGAATCACTGGAGGGCTTGTTGAACCCCAGATCACTGGGCCCTGCCCCCACAGTCTGATTCAGGAGGTCTGGGCTGGGGCTCAAGCATCTACATCTCTCACAAGTCCCTAGTGATGGTCATGCCACTGGTTCAGAGGTCACACCTTGAGACCACTGATCTAGTCAGCCCTTCCTGGAATCCACACATGCTTCAACCAGACACAGGATATGCACACACTTTGCCTCTCTTAGTGGAGCAGGGCAGGAATCCTTGTTCCTAAAGCCACTTCCTAAACCTAAAGAAGGGGACGCTTATCCTAGCACCTGGGACCATAGGAACAGAGCTTCGTGCCTAGCTGCCATTTTCTTCTTTTAAGCCAGAGCCCTGATTTTCCCAAAAAGGTTCATTACCTCCTCACTCTCCCCTTCCCTATATACATCCCTGGTCTTTGGGGAAATTAGAGTCTGTTACAAACATTCCCTTGGGAACCCTGAGCTCCCTGGATACCATCCTTACCTCCCAGCCCCTCAGACCTTTTCTACCCTCCTCTCATCTGCTCCCCAGGCCCCATCTCTTTGGCTAATTTCCCTGCCAGCTTCAGCTGGATGCACATGGTCACAAGAACCACTTTAGCAATGCTGTAAGTTAAAGGGACGGCATGCTAACCCTGGACTGCAGGTCTCCACCACTCAGGAGGGAAAGATGTTTGAAGTCCCTGAAGTCCAGGGCTCCTCTCTTCTCCCTGCAGGCAAGGCTCCAGGCTGGTTTGTGGACTGGGTGGAGGTGGACGCCCCGTCTCTTGGAAAGTGCATGATGTTTCCCTGCGGCCGCTGGTTGGCCAAGAACGAAGATGACGGGGCCATCGTCAGGGACCTCTTTCATGCAGAGCTTCAGACAAGGCGCTACACACCATGTAGGGACCTCACCGCCACCGTCATTGGGCCCCATCGCTTCTCTAGCATCAACGCTGGAGCCTTGGGCCTCTTGTTTCTTCCCTAATCTCCTGGGGTCTGTGGGGTTGTGGTTAGAGCCCTGGGCCCAAGAAGAGGGACTCAGAGACTTGTTCCCAATACCCACCCCCCAAAACAAGCTGTTGACACAGGAGAGAACTTAACCTCTCTGGGCTTCGTTTCCTCATCTGCAAAATAGAGACAAATGCAGGGAGTGTCCCAGAAGGAGAAAGGTCTAATTGTGAAGGTCATTACTGACACCCACCAATCCTTTTTGTCGTCATTAGAATCCTGAAGAAACCACCACCCGTAAGATTGTCTCCTGATTTGGGGGGAAAGAAAAGAAGGTCAATACAATTCTTTTTACAGGTTGACAGAAAGGAGAACAATTCTGACACCCACCTTTCACCACCATCAACATAGAAACATGTATTAAATGTTTATATATGTGTAGCTATGTATTGTCCTTAAGGGCTGTTGAGTTGGTTCCGACTCATAGTGACCCCGTATAGGGTTTCCTAGGAGTGACTAGTAAGTTTGAACTGCCGACCTTGTGATTCAAAGCGACTTTGTGGTCCAGCACGTTATCCTGTAGCGCCACACTGACTCCAGCTATGTACTGGGTCCTGGGAATCAAACGGAAATAAACTCTATTGAACTTGCTGATGTCTGAACCAAATTCAGAGAATGCCATTTCCCTCTAACTTAATTTCTGTGTGCTATCAAGTCACAGGGACCATATAGGTCATAGTAGAAATGCCCTAGTGGGATGTAATCTTAATGGAAGCAGATTGCCAGGTCTTTACTACTGCGGAGTAGCTGATGGATTTGAATGACCAACCTTTCAGTTAGCAGCCCAGCACACAACCATGATGCCACCAGGGCTCCTTAAATAATTACCTGTACCAAAAGACTTTCCCCAAACAACTCATATTAAACACTGTGTTGTTGTTGCTGTTAGGTGCTATGGAGTCACCTTCGACTCACAGCGCCATTAAGCACAACAGAATGAAACACTGCCTGCCCGGTCCTGCACCATCCTCACAATTGCTGTTATGTTTGAGCCCACTGCTGCTGCCACCATGCCAAGCCATTTCATTGGGGGTCTTCCTCTGTTTCACTGACCCTCCACTTTACGAAGCATTGATGTCCTTCTCCAAGGACGTGACCAAAGTACGAGAGACTAGATCATCAAAATACTTTCTGGGCCAAAGTTTGAAAAAGGGTGTCATTTCCTGGTTTGGCTCTGTAGGATAAGCACTGCCAGACACAAGGTCAGCAGTTCAAACCCACCAGTTGTTCCTCAGAACCAACTTGACAACACTTTACAACAACAGCAGATCCCCTGGTCGAGCCCCTGCCCCCCATGATCTAACACAGACACACTGATTGACTCAGCAGAGGTGCACACGACTGGGGCAGTGTCGGGGGCCTGTGTGGACAGACGTTCCCAATCACACATAGACAATGAGAGAGAACAGTGAGGTAGAGCTGGTTAGAACCAGAGTACTCCTCACTGTACCTGCTTTTGGGAACTGTTTCTCCCAGGACCAGCTTCCTGTGTGCAAAAAACCAAAAAGATAAGAAAAGAAAGAATTTTTGTAGCCTGACCATGGCTCTAGTCAGTTCCAGCTTGACATTAGAAGAAAGTCACGTACGCTTTGTAGTTGTAAGTTCACATCTGCAACACACACAAAGGAAAAAGGTCAGCAAAGACTGACTTTTCAGATGGAGACATTGGGGCATCAGCTCTCAGGTGGTGGTGCGCTGAGTGGGAACACAGCTGCTGCCTCCTCCCTGCCTGGTGACTAGCTCAGGGACCCAGGGACCTAGGAAACAGTTCTCGCCTGCTAACCATAAAGATTGGCCTTTTCCATTCACACAGTGGGGCCTTGGTAAAGGCCTGCGTCTGCTTCTGCAAAGATTGCAGTCAAGAAAATTTGATGGTTTCTCAGAGTTGGGGCTGACTTGATGGCAGTGATTGTTTGTTTGTGTGTGTGTTTGTTTAGACAGGGACTTGGAAGTAGGCTTGACAGCTCATCAAGAGCTGAAGCCAGGCAGAGCTGACCAGATGGAGTTGCTCGTGAGCACAGACTTGTTCAGTCCACATAGGACAGATATGGCAGGGAGACTCAGGCCCCATTCATGCCCCCAGCATTGCTAGCAGTAGAAGGTGTGGGGAGGGCAAGACTGAGAAGGAAGAGCCCCTCCCCACCTTCATGCTCTGCAGCTTTGAGAGGTTGAGTCTTATCTGGATATTCCTGATACTTATATTATAAGAATTTTCCAAACCAAATAAAATTCACAACAACACATCTAGTTAAACCCCCTCATTTTGTAGGTGAGGAAACTGAGGTCCAGAGAGGTGAAGCTGATACCATGTTCAAGGGCACACAGCACAGCCAAGCACACAGAGGCAGAGCCAGAAACTGAGGCAGTGAGGACTGACGGGTGGGCAGCTCCTGCCCAGAAATTTCTAGAGCTTCTGCTAGTCAACTCAGGAAAACTCAGCTCCTCTAGCCAGTTTCTCTGCTCAAGGTCTCCTAAGCAGAGACACCCAAGAGGACTCACAGGGCAGGGCTTTTGTGGCAGAGGTGGCCCTTCCATTTCTGTGTGAGGGGCAGGCAGAGTTGGCTGTGTTACCCCTCAATGGGGGCCCAACAGCAGGTTGAGGGTCCCTTTCAGGCCATTATGGGACTGCTGGTCACCCCTGTGGGCTGCCCCTCCTTGTGGCTAATGAGTTTCTTATTGTTGTTGTTAAGTGCCATTGAGTCAGTTCTGATACATAGCGACCCTGTATAGGGTTTACAAGGAGTGGCTGGTATGCTTGAACTGCTGACCTTGTGGTTCAAAAGAACTTTGTAGTCCAGTACATTAACCCACAGCACCATACCAGGACTCTGTGGCTTATGGGTGTTGTTGTTGCTAAGAGCCGTTAAGTCGGTTCCGAATCATAGCGACTCTGTGTAGGGTTTCTGAGAAGCGTCTGGTGAGCTTGAGCCACCGACTTTGCAGTTCAAATGACTTTACACTTCAACGCAATTAGTCAGCAGTATTTATCTCAAATCTATGTCAACACTACCTCTTAGAAATCGACCACACAAACTTCAAGCCTCAGTTCAAGTTAGAATTCATCTATTGATCAACCATGTGACCGTGGGCAGGCAATTTCACCTCTCTGAGCTTCAGTTTTCTTATCTGTAAAATGGGGATCTAAGAATACCTTCTGCAAAGAGTCATTGTGAGGCTAATATGAGTAAGGAGTCTGATATATAGCAAGTACCCAGTGAATGATAACTATCACTAATACAAGTGTTACTACTATAATAAAGTAATTATGATTATAAAGGAACAGTAACTTTGTCCTCTGGAGAAGTTTGAAGTTACCTGTGAGAAAGTGGCTTCTAATGATGGCCTCTTTTAAAAGTCAAGATCATAGGCTAGGATAGATTCCCAAAAGGCTGGTTTTCTGGGTTTTGTTTTGCTGGGGTTTTTTTCTTCAATTTTTTACATCTTGTTGTTGTTTAGTGCTGTTCGCTCTGTTCCGACTCATAGCGACCCTGTATAGTGTTTCCAAGGAGCGACTGGTGAGCTTGAACTGCTGATCTTGTAGTTAACCGCCCAGTGCTTATCCTACAGTACCATAGCATTGACTATCTTGTTATCTGACATTTCACATGGATGACAATCGTTAAAAAATCGATCATGTGATTATTTAGCACAGTAATGGTGTGTGTCTAGTAGTAAGGAGCACTGAGGTGTGAGGTAAGAGGAACGCTGGTTGTGATGGTTACGGTATGTGTCAGCGTGGTTGGGCCATGATCCTCAGTGGTTTGGTAGTATAGGATGGAGTCATTCTCCCTTCTGTGATTTGATGTGGTCATCTTCTATTTTCATGCAATGCTAATTTTCATATAGCATCTTGATCGTTGGAACCTAGCCATCTTGACAATGAGGAATACATGTGTTAACTGTGGCCCAAAGTAAGTATCTAATTCAGAGACATAGAGATAAAAATGTCTCAAGAGAAATATTTACCCTTATTATGGGTGATGCACAATATTTTCTATTTAATTCTATTCAATGCTACCGACTTTTTAAAATTATTGCTAACAACCCTTGAAATTCGAACCGACTCCACAGCATATAACAACAATAACAACAAGCCGTGAAATTCATTTCAAACTCTGTTAATGGGCCTCAATCCAGAGTGGGCACACCGTTTCAAACCACTGGACTTATACCTTTGTGTAAAGAATAAGTTAAATATTTAGATCCTTAGGTCCACCCTGCAAAGAATCTGAGAAGGGGTTTGGGAATCTATATTTTTAACAAGCACCCCAGAGTTTCTGGAGCAAAGGACCCTTTGCCCACACATCAAAGAATGCTGGTGTCTGCTCTTGCTGGTGGCTGCCCACCAGGAAACAGCTTATTGACAGCACTGATGGGTCCATCTCTTCAGTACAAACAGACAGTTCCTGATGGGGACAGTTTCTGCTAAAGTTGAGTGGACCCTGGCACATCCCTCACCTCCATGTCTCTCTCTCCTATAAAAAACAACATAACAAGCAGTTTTTGTTTTCCCTCCCATGGAGACCCCATGTATAGAGAAGAACTGTGCTCCACAAGGTTTTCAATGACTGAAGTTTTAGAAGCACACAACCAAGCCATTCTTTTAAGACACCTCTGGGTGAAGTTGAGCCTGCAACCTTTCAGTTAGCAGCTAAGTACATTAACCAGGGACTCCCTTGCCCTATAGGGGGCTTTATAAATTGCCACAAGGCCCCTTTCTGCATCCAACCCAACAAGGGACCAGGTGCCATGTGGATGTGTTGGGGAGGACAGATCAACCTGGAGGAAGTGAGGGCTGAGAGTGAGGTGAAGGATTCTGGCTGATCCAGTTTGCCAACTGGTCCTCCAAATACGATGCTCTTGTTTTCACTGAGGGCATTTTACAGATGAGGAAAACGAGGCTCCTAAGTAGCTTGCCCATGTCACACAGCTAGCCAGGTTAGAGCTGGGATTTGAGCCCAGGCTTGTCTTTCACCCAGGCTGCTCTGTGATGGGAGAAGGTCGGAGACCCTGGTCTGAGGGGACAGGGGGCTTGGAAGGGACTTCCACCTGTGGTTGCTAGGGCCCCTGGGTTGCTAGCAGTTCTCGGTTAGAGAGGTCTGGGCAGTGGAGAAGAACTTGACCTCACTCTCACTTGTTTTCTGTGCTCACACCATCCTCAGTTGTGCCTTACGAGATTACCCTCTACACCAGTGATGTCTTTGCCGCTGGGACAGATGCCAACATTTTCATTGTCATCTATGGCTGCGATGCCGTGTGCACCCAGAAGAAGTACCTGTGCACCAATAAGCGGGAGCAGAAACTGTTCTTTGAGAAGAAGTCTGCCTCCCGCTTCATCATGGAGGTAGCTGGGGAAGCCAGGTCTGAGGGGTGAGGGCTCAGAGGGGAGGAGAAGGAGCCCTGTATTCAGCGGCAGAACACATGTGCTCAGGATAGCCATGTGACTGTGAGAATGGTGAGCCTGGCCCGGCTCCTCCAGGTCAGAGGTCAGGATCAAAGGAGAGAAGGGGTGGAGAGGGCTTTGGAAAACTTGAGGTACACTTTCAGGGGGACATCCCCAGTGCTACCAAATAGAACAGACAAACGTCCATGACAAGACATGCTTTCAGACTGCTGAATGCTGAATGCTGGGGGAGGTGGGAGTCCCACTACCAGATATAACATGAGATGAGATCTGCTGGTTCCTGCCTCAGCTCTCAGAGTGTAGCCAAACATGATATGGAAGGCCCTCTGGTATGCTCTCCCCATCACGCTGGGCCTGGGGCTGGGGGTTCAGTGTTCACTCTGATTGTGGGCATCCTATACACATTAATCTGCATAGCAACCCACCCAGTGTGCCTCCCTATGTGCCCTGCTGTGTGCTAGGTTGCCAGAGAGACAAGAGAGGTGAGGACCCAGGCCCTGCCTTCAAGGGCCTTGCAGTCTAGATGAGGACCGCAGACCTCCACACAAAGCTAGTGAGAGAGTCGAGTTTGGCTTGTGGTCACCTACATTAACCCTTGGAAACCTACAACAATTCTGTCCTGTAATCAACCCTTGTTTAAAGATGGCTAAGCTGGGACACCCAGCATTTAATACCGTACTGTAAATTACACAGCAGAGGTGTTCTGGAGGCAGGGTTCAGCCCCAGAGGATCGGTTTAACAAGAAGTGCTCTTGGTGGGGAGGGTAAGCAGTGGGTGGCAAAGCATGTTACAGGTGGCCAGGAGTGATGGGAGAGAGCTTCCTGCAAGAGGTGGCTGTGAGCTGGTCCTAGGGATAGTCAGTTTCAAGGTGCAGAGGCATTCTTAGGAAGGGGAACAGCATGGTCAGCCTTAGAGGTGGGAATAAGCACAGCATGTGGTTTGAGTTTTAGCCACCACAGGAGAGAGTGATGTGACTTGCACAGAGGGCAAGGATGTGGTTGTTGTAATCAGCTGGCCCCAACCCACAGCCACCCCACACGTAACAGAACAGAACATTGCCTGGGTCCTGCACATCTTCAGCATTGTTATTGTTACAGTTCCTTTGTATTATGCGTGTCTTCCAGCCTGGAGGCTCCTCCGCCAGCACTGTGTTAGACAATATTCAGTTGTGATGCAAAGGGTTTCATCATTCTCACAGATGGCCAGGCTTTTCTCCCGAGTCTGTGTTAGTCTGGAAGCGCCACTGACCCTTCCACATGGCTGTGACTTTTCTGGTATGTGAAATACCACTAGCATAACTTCCAGCATCTGAGAGAGTACGACCCCCTGACAGAAAGATGCTGAAGGCAGAGAAGAAACAGGACCTAAACAGGAAGACAGGGCAACCCGAAGGGAGAGCAGCCTGGTTCTCCAGGTAGTAGTGGCTTTGGAGAGGTGCCCCTTATTTCTTTGGTGGAAAACAAGGTCTTGAGTGCCTTCTTTCTTCTTTGGCCATCTTGTGTCCCAGAGGAACCCTGGTCCCTCCCAACTCCTCTGGGAGTCATCAGCACTTGTGGGAAGGTTTGCCACTTTTGCTGAGTGTTTAACAAGGAACACTTAAGGGTGAATCATTTGTCCACACCACGCCAACATATCCACTCAAGATGTGTTGTGTGTGACTCATCTGAGCCTGTTGGCGTCAGTGGCTGTTAGCTGTGATTACACCTCAGCATGATTTCCGGGGACTTTTATCAATGAAGTCCCCATTAATAGACAGCCAGAATTTGCCAGTAATTTGCTGCCTTTTTGGTTTTCAAATTTAATGGATCTTTGGGGTGTATGAGAGTTTGGAAGACAAATGGAAAAGCTTTGTCTTCTAACATCAGTCCTTCTGCCTGTCTCTCTTCCTGTCTCTCCACGTCTCTTTTCGAACTGACCTTCGGGTAAAAGTGAGAACATTGGATTTGGAGTCCACATCTCTGGATTCAAATTCTGACCCACCCACCCACTAACTATTGAACAAGCCAATCCTTCTCTCTGTGACCTCATCCTAAAACCAAGAGGTTGGTCAGAAAAATCACAGTAGTAGCTAACATTTGTTGAGCACTTCCTATACATCAGACCTGGGGGTCACAAATGGTCTGCATTCAGACCAGAAAGTTAGTAGTGTGAACCCACCCAGCAGTGTCATGGAAGGAATGCCTGGAAACCAGCTATCATAAAGGCTTGTTGTTGCCATCAGATCCATTTTCTGACTCATAGATATCCCATGTGACAAAGTAGAACTGCTCCCATAGGGTTTCCTAGGCTGTAATACTTATGGACTCCTGGTGTAGGTTCATCACTGGACTGCGAACCACAAGGTCAGCAGTTCAAACCCACCAGCTGCTCTTCAAACCCTATACAGGGTCACTATGAGTCAGAACCAACTCGACAGCACAATCCTAATGGAAGCAGATCACCAAGTCTTTCTCCCAGCAAGCCACTGGTAAATTCAAACTGCTAACCTTTTGGTAGTAGCTGCGAGCTTAACCTTTGCACCACCTCCTTCTCTAAAGATTACAGTCAAGAAAGTTCTATGGAGCTCAGTTCTACTCTTTAACGCATGGGGTTGCCATGGGCCAGAACCCACTAGACAGCAATTGCTTTGGGTGGCTTCTTTTTTTCCCCACATGCCCTATTCTGAGCATTCAGTGTGCCAACTCATTTAATCCTCGTTACAATTCCAAGAGTTAGGTGCGCTGATTGTTGTGCTTTGCAGAGGAGGAAACAGCACAGGAAGGTTAAGTAACTTGCTCAAGGTATCATGATTAAAGTATGGCAGATACAGGATTTCAACTCAAGCATTTTGATTCCAGAGCCTTTTGTGCTTCATTTTTTCACCTCTTGGGAGAGTGTTAGGGTCTCTCTTGATGCAGATGTCCTGAGTCAATCTCTGATGCCCCTGCAGTCCCCTGAAAGACCTCCTTGTTCTCTGGGGGTCATGGTGAGATGACCACCAGTGCACATACAACACTGGGTGATTAATAAGGTCACCCAAGTCCCCTTGAGGCTTTAGGTCCACACATGTCAAACCTCGAAGAGATGAGCTGAAGAAAGAGGGATGGGGCCCCTGGGCAGAGGGGGAGGCAGAGAATTTTCACTCCTGACTTTGCTGGCAGCTCCGTATCCTCAAGGGAAATTCTGTCTGAACCAAGGATGTCACCGATAGCTTCGTGCTCTAGTATTGTGAAGAACAAGGCTTTCTTACATATGTCCTTGGAAAGAACATCAGCTTGAAATCATCAAGCTTTGCTTAATCATTCAGAAGGTCCCTTGGGGCTCACACATCCCCCTAGAGGGTCATTTTGGACTTGGAGGCTCACTTCTCTGATGAAGTGTAGGCGAGCAGCCATGAGGGGGGTGACGGGCAGAGTGCAGAATTTGCAGATTCCTTGTGAATTCTCAGAGTTTCCAGTGATGTGGAGCCCTGCCGGTCAGTCACTTGGAACTAGAAAGTAGTTGATGAAAAAAAAGAAGAAGAAAAAAGCCATGTCTGAGACCTTACACCTGGAAGTGACCTCAGGGGATTACCCTGTCTGTATCCCTGACTTCAGCTGGATAAGGTGCTATGCTCCCCATTTTGCAGATGGGGAAGTTGAGCCCTAGAAAGTCAAGTGGCTTGTTGGGATGGCTCTGCATCTGACGCTGGTGCATCCCCCTTGATGACCATCGGTGGGTGGGTATATGGGGAGGAAGAAGCCACTGACTGGAAGCTGCTTCATTCCTGCAGAGGTTGCTTCTGTCTACGGTTACAGGAGCTTCGACTTGGACAAATGACTCAACCATTTCAACACCATTCAAGCATCAAGAGTACTCTGTCCTCAGGAGACACTCCAGGGCTGACCATGCCGCCTCCTCAGTTGTTGTTGCTGTTGAATTGTTTATGACTCACAGCAACCCTGTGCACAACAGAATGAGACACTGCCCGGCCCTGTGTCATCCTCACAATTGAGCCCATTGCTATTCCCACTGTGCCAATCCATCATGTTGGGGGTCTTCCTCTTTTTTGCTGACCCTCCACTTTACCAAGCATGACATCCTTCTCCAGGGACTGATTCCTCCTGATAATATGTCCAAAGTATGACAGATGAAGCATTCTGGCTGTACTTCTAACACAGATTTGTTTGTTCTTTTGGCAGTCCATGGCACTTTTAATGTTCTTCTCCAACACCATAATTAATACGCATCAATTCTTCTACAGTCTTCATTATTCATTGTCCAACTTTCACATGCATATGAGGTTACTGAAAATACCATGTTTTGGGTCAGGTGCACCTTAGTCCTCAAGCTGACATCTTTGCTCTCGAACACTTTAAAAAGGTCTTATACAGCAGATTTGACTAATGCAATATATTGTTTGATTACTTGACTGCGGTTCCATGTGTATTGATAATGGATCCAAGTAAATGACACCTTCAGCCTTTTCTCCATTCATCATGATGTTATTTATTGGTCCAGTGGTAAGGATTTTTGTTTTCTTTACATTGAGGTGCCATACTGAAGACTGTAGTCTTTGTTCTTCACCAGTAAATATTTTAAGTCCTCTTTTCTTTCAGCAGGCAAAGTTGTATCATCTGCACTGCAGATTGTTAATGAATCTTCCTCTAAAATGCTATGTTCTTCTTCATATAATCCAGCTTCTCAGGTTATTTGCTCAGAATACAGATTGAATAAGTGTGGTGAAAGAATACAACCCTGGCGCACACCTTTCTTCATTTTAAACCATTCAGTGTACCCTTGTTCTGTTCAAATGCCTGCCTCTTACTCCATGTACAGGCTCCTCAGGAGCACAATGAAGTATTCTGGAATACTCTCTATAGTAGTAGCTGGTAGCTTGATGGAGTAGTTTGGGTAGCCTGATCCACTCCCACCACCCTACCACCTCAACTATTCTATCAAATCTTTTGGCATGGATTCCATGGACCAGCCATGCGCCAGTGCATCTGGTTATTGTTATATTTGGAGTCTGGGTGGTACAAATGGTTAACACACTTGGCTGCTAATAAAAAGTTGGTGGCTCAAGTCTACCCAGAGGCACATCAGAAGAAAGGCCTGGTGATCTACTTCCAAAAAAATCAGCCATTGAAAATCCTATGGAGTCCAGTTTTCCTCTGACACATGTGAAATTGTCACGAGTGGGTGGCTACTCCTTGGCAGCTGGTTTGACTGGCTTCTTTTTCCCTTGGACCTGACTTTCTCATCTCTTTCTTTATTGCTCCAGGTCCTGTTAGGAATGAGGTAGGGTTTAGATTTATCTATAAAACATCATTTCAGAGGAGAGATTTCTCCAGGGGTCCTGGAGTGGGAGACAGACTAGTGTGTAATAAAGGAGGGCAAAACAGCAGGAAGAGAGCAGTGGTGTATGTGTGTGTGTGTGTGTGTGTGTGTGTGTGTGTGTGAGCAGGATGACGCATCAGGCGGAGAGGACAGCCTTGTCCTGTGGTTCCAGAGCTGATAAGGGCACACATGTGTCGGCTTCTTCATCCAGCAGAGCTTACTCACATAGGCGATCATGCCTAGGGTTCACCCTGCAGTGTGAGATAGCCTGGCTGACTCTTTCATACCCTTTTGCAGACAAGAAAACACTCATTTTTTTTTTTCTTGTTTAAGTTTTTATTGTGGATTGAGTGAAAGTTTACAGGGCACATCAGCAGTTTTATATTCAACAAATTATACAACTTGTTTCATCACAATAATTATAATCCCCACCATGTACCATCAATAACAACAGTATTTCTCTATATTCACTTTAGCTCTTTTTAAAAACACACACACACACACACACAAAACACTCAGGCATATATAGTAATCTATACCACTGAAAGGCACATTCTGCAAGTCTGTCTCATGGTCACTATCTCTTAGGCCCTCTCTTCCCATGAATCTAGAGTCCTCAGCCACTCTTATTCTGCATGCCTCCCATCTCTGCCTCCATCTCTGGTGTCACTGTGTCTCTGGATAAGGTCCCTCATTCCGTTTGTGCTCTTCTCCCTTGATGGTCCTAGGGTCCTTTGTTTCTGGACTGAAAGATTAACTGCTCCCCCATTTTTGTTTCAAAACTTCTACCTTTACAATTGTGACAGTCACAATTAGTCAGGATAACAATTACTCACTATTGAATCATAAGATTCTTATCCCCATCTCTTTTAACTAGACCTATCTAGACAAGATGAAAACTATTCAGGGGACTCTTTCTTCCCCTTCTTCCCCCACACACTCTTAAATTAAACTCCCTCTTGAAACCTTGTAAGTCAGTTACTTCATGCCTTTATCGCCCCCTCATTTTAGGTAGCCAATGTCTAAGTTGCCCATCCCTCTATACCCTGTGTACAGAGGGGATAGCATTGATACTTGATGTGAAGACTCCTTCCCTCTCAGTTGATATTTAGAGTTACTACCTCCATGAGTATAGGTCAGGTTCATCAAAGTGTAGCAATTTACCCTTGTTGCCTTTATCAAAATTTGTGTTTTTTTATCTTTCTCTAGTCGAGTTCTGATTATCAAGCCATCGAGGCTAGATCAAATGAGTACTATCTGCAAATTTGGGTGTTCTTGTGCCTCTCCCCTCACTTCATATCAGCTGGATGCTTCACTCTCAGCTCTAGCCCTCTGTGGCTATGGCCTTGTCCATGGGCTCAGGCTTCCCCAGGCCTCACCATACTTTGGACCAACCAGCCCTTCCTCTTCTCTCTCTCATCTCCAGGTCAACAGGAGTCAATGGACTGAGGTTGAACTCAGCCCATTTCTTCATTGCTGCCTTTGCCACTCTTCCATTCACCAGTAGCCCAATGTGGTTGCCAGCAAGCTTATATGCTTGTTTGTGTGTTCCCTTTGAGTTTCAGTCTTAGAGGGGAGTTTGTCCTGAGGGAACTTGATTGTTTGCCTTGATGGCTTCCTGGCGAACAGCTTGTTTATTCTTGCAGTAGCCAGTCATGCTGACATTTTGCTTTGGGTTTTTCCTGATGATCTTTCATTGAAGATGCATCTTCTGTCACTCTAGCTGTTCCAAGCTGGTGTGCTTGTCCTTTTTAGTAGGAATGTCTCACCTCAGAAGGTTCTGGATGGGACTCAGGATTCCACCTAATGTTCTATACTCTGCAAAGGCTCTGCAAGTGGCCTGTTTCACTGGACAAGTTCTAGAACCCCTTTTAGGTATTCCAATCAGTTATAGGCTGGAAAACATCATTTTTTCCAACAAAGATTCCCTGAGTAGCTGATGATGTGCCTTTGGGGATAATGCATGCCCTCGTGGTGAACAAAAAGAGATGAGGTGCCTTCCCTTGGGCTGTCAGTGATGGAGGGGAGGTCATCACACAGGTGACTGCTCTGATGGGGAGCGTAGGCTGCTAGAAGAGCCTATCCTACAGAGAGCTGACCTCCTCGTGGTGGTCAAGGGGACTTCCTTGAAAAACTGGTTCTTGATCCGAGATCCTAATGATGAGTTTAAACAGGCATGCGATATGGTAAAGAAGAGGAAGGTAGACAGGCAAGGCAAGCATGTGCAAAGGTCCTGTGGGGGGAGAATGACAGGGTTGAGGGAGCATAGAAGATGAGTGACTAGAGTGGGCTGTGAAAGGTCCACTCAGTCAGACAGGGGCATAGGCAGAACCAGAACTCATCTTCTGAAACCCAGTTTGGTCCTCAAGCAGGGGAAGGATGAGCTGCCACAATGGTAAGTATGTAATGCAAGACAGAGGACTAGGCTCTTCCTGGAGTCTCAGAGGTTATTGGTGGGGAAGAGAATCATGAACATAGTGTGTTCAAAGGAGAGTGTGGCCTGCCTGTCTGGACAGAGGACATCCATTGGGAGAAGGTGACCTGAAAGCTCAAAGGGACTTGAAGGTAGGTGCGCTAGGGAGGCAGGCTGTTTCTGAGACGGTATTCTCCTCGAACTTTGGCTAATGTCTGGTGTCTTCTCTTTTCCAAAGCTAGAAGATGTGGGAGAAGTCATTGAAAAAATTCGGCTTGGCCATAATAACACAGGCATAAACCCGGGGTGGCACTGTTCCCACGTGGACATCCGCAGGCTCCTCCCAGATAAAGACGTGAGTTTCTGAGCCGGTTCACTCAAGAGTGCAGGGATTAGTTCAGATCCAAGACAGAATGTTTCAGAACCTGATTGGTGGGCCAAGGAGGAGAGTCTGGGCAGCCATGGCTCTGCTCCTCATTCCAAGGCATGACTGAGCGACTCCTGCCTCCCACAGGAACTCACAGAAAGAAATCCACTTTGATCAACCTGGAAAAATTCAGAGGCTGTAAGATTCTAAACCTAGAAAGTAGTTCTCAATATCTGAATAGGAATGACTTGGGAGCAATTAAAAACTACAGCACCTCATGCTGAGCAAAATGTCAGACACAAAAGGACAAGCAGTGTATGATGTCATTTATATGAAATCAATAAATACACAGACACCAAAAGTAGTTTGTGATTCCCAAAGGTGGGAGGAGGAGGGAAAGTGAAGACTTTTGCTTAAGGTGCACTGAAGGTGTTTTAGTGGTGGTGGGGTCATCTGAAAGAAGCGTGAAGAATGTAATTAATGTTACTGAAGTATCCGTGTAGATATTGGTGAAATATTGTATGTGTTGTGTGTCTATTGCAATTGTTGTTGTTGTTAAGTGCCGTCGAGTCGGTTCTGACCCACAACGACCCTGTATAGGGTTTCTGAGGAGTGACTGGTGAGCTTGAATCACCAACATTGCCGTTTCAAGTGGCTTTGCAGTCTGGCGCATTAACTTACAGCACCACTCCAGGACTCCCGTCTATTGCAATAATAATAATAATAAAAAATGTATAACTTCTCCCTACACCCACTAAATTGGAGTCTTCCAAATGAGGTGCTATCTATTTTTAAGTGAACTCTGGGACCTTTCAAAACTTTCCCACTGGATGTGATTCTGAAAGTCCTTAAGTAAGATTAATATGCTGGAATTGGACTAAGGGCTCTCCTGTGCCTTTTGCCTTCTGCCTTGTCCCTGGCCTCCATGCATGTTGACATGCTGAGAGTCAGCAGTCTTTCAGGAAGGGCTCATTTTCCTCTCTCCCTCTTACTTCAGGGTTCAGAGACCTTGACCTTCCCTTGTGATCGATGGCTTGCCACCTCCGAGGATGACAAGAAGACCATTCGAGAACTGGTTCCTTATGACATTTTCACTGAAAAGTACATGAAAGATGGTTCCCTGAGGCAAATCTACAAGGAAGTAGAGGAGCCTCTGGACAGTAAGTTGGTGATGGTCATCAAAACCATCAGCAGCTCCAGTACCATGGCCCCTTCTGTGAGTGCCTGCCCTGCACAGGCTGAGTTCTCCATGCGGGTTCTATTATTATCTATGTTCTGTAAAGATGCAGCGGAGGCTTCGAGAGGTTAAATAACTTGCTGCAGTTTACACAGTTAATGCGTAGCAGAGCTCTTCTTCAAAGTTCAGGCTCTCTCACTTCCAGGTTGGTGCTCAACCCTTCCCTGCTTGACATTGCAGTAATGTGGATCACGTGTTTCCCATGCCAAGGCTATCCCATCCTTGTTTCCTCTCTACACTTAGTTTATTGGGCTACTTGTTCTGGTGTGGTACTGCTGGATAAGCACTGGACTGCTAACCACAAGGTCAGCAGTCCAAACCCACCAATTGCTTCTTGGAAATCCTATGCAGGATTGCTGAGTTGGAACAGCACTTAACAACAACAACAATGTGTGTGTATGGAGGTATGATGGGTCAATGGTTAAGTGCTCAGCTGCTAACAGAAAGGTTAGCTGTTCAAACCCACCCAGCAACTCTGAGAATAAGACTTGACCGTCTGTTTCTGTAAAGATTACAGCCTGGAAAACCCTATGGGACAGTTCTACTCGGTCACATGGGGTGACTATGAGTCAGAATCAAATCGACAACACCCAATAACAACAGCAATCATGTGGTTTGGTCCTGTTGGCTCTTACTGGAAAAGCTGTGCCCACTAAGGAAGAATCAGGAAACATCCTGGATTGGCACTTGATAGGGCCTCTGGTGCATTTGTTCTCACGTACTCATCCCTTCACATCAAATCCCACTCACAGCAACACTACCAGATAGAGTAGAACTGATCCAGATGGTTTCCAAGCGTAGTGGTTATGAATCGGGTTGCGAACCACAAGGTCAGCTGTTGGAAACTACCAGCTGTTTCACTGGAGAAAAATGAGGTTTTCTGCTCCCATAAAGATTTACAGCCTCAGAAACCCTGTACAGGGTCGCTATGAGTCGGAACCGACTCCATCACACATAACAACAACAATAGTCTTTACAGGAGCAGATGACCACATTTTCTCCTGCAAAGCAGGTGGGTTTGAACTGCCAATCTTACAGTCGGCTGCTGAGTGCTTTATCCACTGTACCACCAGGGCTTATTATATATTTGACTTGTGTTTTCAGTTAGAAAAACAAATATAGTTTTTCTTCTTAATTCTCTACTTTAAAAATTATTGTTGAGTTGATTTCAACTTGCTTCACAGGGTTTTCAAGGGTTAATTTTGTTTAAGCAGACCACCAGATCTTTCTTCCAAGGTGCCCCTGGGTGGTTTCAAACTGCCAAGCTTTTGGTTAGCTGTTGAATGCTTAACCATTTGCCTTACATTGTTACTATTGTTATTAAGTGCCCTCGAGTCAGTTTTTATTCATAGTGACTTTGTATCAGGTTTCCAAGGAGTAGCTGGTGAGGTTTGAACCATTATTAATCTTATGGTTAGTAGTCCAGTGTTTATCCCACAGTGCTACACCAAGACTCAAGCTAGGGACCCATTAAAACCACTCTACCTATTTCTGTTGTTGTTGTTGTTAAGTGCCATTGAATTGATTTGGACTCACAGTGACTCCAGTCCTGGTGTGGTGCTGTGGGCTGAAGTGCTGGACTTGTAACCGCAAGGTCAGCAGTTCAAACTCACCAGCTGCTACTTGGAAACCTATATAGGGTTGATATAGGTCGAAACTGATTCGATGGTACTTAACAACAACAACATAGTGACCCTGTTAAGTTTGCCATGGTTGTAAATCCTTGCAGAAGCAGAAAGTCTCATCTTTCTCCCATGCAGAACTGCTGACCCTGTGATTAGCAGTTCAGTGTTTACCCTACAGTGCCAGTGTGCTCTAATGTTCCTTTAACCAGAGTTTAAACTCACTTAGAGATGAGAACAAGTGTTGTACCAATACTGTGCCTTTCCCTACCCATACCTCTTCTTTGGACCTTCTTTGCTACTAAATCTGGGGAGTAAAGACCTTTTCAACTTGGATCCCAGAGACTGCCCTGAGCGTTCCAGTACACACTCGGGCTGTTCTGAATTAATAATACGCCGCAAAGCCCACTCAGAGCTTGGTGCTGTTTCTAGGGAAACGTCTTTGCACTGACGAGCCTCGGCCTGGGTGGGGCTGAAGGGAGGAGGATCCAGAAATAGCCAGATCTGACTGCGCAACTGCACTGCTCAGTTTTCCTCATTCTCAAAGGACTGGAGAAAGCAGCGAGAGGGGTGGAGGGGGTGCCACTTAATCACTGCTGCTAGTGACATGCACCCCACCCGGGACAAGGATTCCAACGACCTGTTCCAATAGGGGCAGAAAGGGGAGCCTGGCAGGCCCACCATACCTGGGGTTATTCCACAGCCTCACCTGGCCTACAGCAGCTGAAACATAGTGGGGAGGAAGAACGTGAGGTGGGTCAGGAGAAAACAGGCAACTGTTGTGTTTGAACTGTACCTCCATTCCAACTCCTGTCAGGGCCGGCATCACAGGCTTGGGCAATATGGAATCTTTTCAACAACAAAAGAGGAGGCTGTTTTATTAATCCAACACGTGAAATGCTGAGTGGGTTTTGCACTGGGCTGGGTGGGAGGTGTGACCAGTTCCTGGTTTCTCCTCTTGGAGGGTGGCTCAGTTCTCACCATCCTCTAGGGAAGTTTAGAGAGCTGAGTGTTGGGTGGGGTTGTAGGACAGAGGAGATGGGTGGGCAGCAGGTTTGGGAAAGGGTGAGGGGAGTTCAGGTGGGGCTGTGTGAGCTTGCCATCTTGTAGAGGTAGAGATGACCTCCAGGTCGAAGGAGTAGTGACCTGAACTAGAGACCAGCCTCGGGGGACACACAGCAGGTGTAGGACAAGAGCAAAAGAATGTGCAGGAGCATGGCTGACATCAGCCTCCGAGAGTGGGCAGAAGGCTGCTTTTGATGGTGCCTTGGAGCCGGTTCCCACTCAGGGTGAACCCGGATGCAGCAGAATGAAGCACTTCCTGGCCTGACACCCCCTTCACAGCTGGTGTGTTTGAGTCCGTCAGGGAGTATACTGTCAGTCAACATTTCACTGACTAATTTTTGGAAGTAAATAAAGACCCTATGTAAGGTTTCCAAAAATGTAAAGCTTTAGAGGAGCAGACCGCCTCATCTTTCTCCCTCAGAGCAGCTGGTAGGTTTGAACTACCCACGTGTGGTTACCCACCCAGTGCCTCACCACAGAGCCACTAGGACTCCTTGGGTAGATTTGATAGTTGGTTGGTATGTGCCATGGAGTTGGTTCTGACTCATAGTGACCCTGTATAGGGTTTCCGAGATTGTAAATCTTTACAGGCGCAGAAGGCCTCATTTTGTCTTTTAAGGAACAGCTAGTATGCTGACCTTGAGGTTAGCTGCCCAACTCATAACCACTATACTACCAGAGCTCCTTTTGGGTAGATTGTTATTGTTAGGTGCCATCGAGTTGGTACAGACTCATACTGACCTTATACACAGCAGAACAAAACACTGCCTAATCCTGGGTCAGCCTCACTATTGTTGCCACACTTGAGTCCATCGATGCTGCCACTTGGCCAATCCATCTCGTTGGAGGTCTTCCTCTTTTTCTCTGACCCTCCACCCTACCAAACATGATATCCTTCTCCAGCGACTGGTCCCTCCTGACAGTATGTCCGAAGTATGAGAGACAAAGTTAAGTAGGAGCATCCAGGGAGGCAGCACTCATAGGAGAAAAATGCTGTTAACCCAAAGGAAAATACAGGGAATAACAGTGACCATTTTGTGCACGTGGGTATGAACATCACACATTACCTTACTCGTATTTGTCTAAATTTAATAAAATCTGGTTCTGAGTCTACCTACAAGAATTGGGTCGAAGGCCCATCTGCATTTCTGCAGGGAAGGAGAGATATTCATCTTAGCGCAGTGGTTAAAGCACGTGGCTGCTAACGGAGAGGTCGGTGTTGGACCACCAGCGGCTCTGTGAGATAAAGATGTGGCAGGTCTGCTTCCATAAAGATGGCAGCCTTGGGAATCCTGGGGCAGTTCTTCTGTCTTCCAGCGTTGCTGTGAGTTGGAATCGACTCAGTGGCAGTGATTTTTTGCTGTTGTTGTTTTGTTTTTGATGTAAGAATCCTGGGGCTCACAGGAGGAACCTGGCCTGAGTCCAGGGAGGACATCACCTATGCCTGTACCCCCTCTGCCAGCACTCTGGTGTCATTTCCCTGGGTAGCCAGAAACTCTTCTCCACAATCCCTGGTTTTGTCAGGAGACCCCTTTTCTGCCCATTAGGCCTCCTTGCTTAACCCCCCACATCAGCTTGGCCACCGTCTCCCTATCAGGTCTAAGTGTGCAAGGGGAGTGTCCCTGCCACCCATCGAAACTGGAAGCTCCACAACCTTCACCTTCTCCCCACCTGGAGGAAATCAACCTCCTCTGGGCCGTCCACATCACATTTCACCTTAAAACTTCAGCTTTAATTCATCTGAGTCCTTTCTTTCTTGGCCTAGAACTCGAAAGCTCGTTAGAAGGAGGAATATGGAGAGGGTCCAGGGAATACTTTGTGCTAGCCCCATGCTCAGTGGGTCCCAAGACTTCCTGGTCCTACACCACTGATCAGTTGTGGATCAGACTGCCATGTGCCATGGAATTTTCATTGGTTGATTTTTAGAAGTAGATTACTCAGCGTTTCTTCCTAAAAAAATATTCCCCAAACCAAACCCACTGTTGTTGATTCTGTTGACTCATAGCAACCTCAGAGGGTTCCCCAGGTTATAAATTCTTATGGAAGCCGCATACCTCATCGTTTTCTCATGGAGCAGGTGGTGAATTTGAACTGCCAACCTTTTTTTTTTTTTTTAAGAAAAAAACAGTTTTCATTTGGAAAATCTAAATATCTGTCACTCATTTAAAATAACTTATTTTCTTTTAAGGAATCCTGGTGTGGCATTGTGAGTTAATGCTCCAGATTGCTAAGTCTCTTTGAACCTCAAGGTTGACAGTTCAAACTCACCAGCTGCTCCTCAGAAACCCTATACAGGATCACTATGAGTCAGAACCGACTTAATGACACTTAACAACAATAATAATTATCTGTAATGTTTATTATCTTATGGATATAGATATACTTAAGTAATAATTTACCTGTTTAATGAGGACCATATATACAGATTGTTTCTGATTTGGGGCAAAACACTTTGGGAGGTGCTTTCAATTTCAGGTCACATGAGGACTACTCACTAAATTAAGTGGTACCCTAGCAAATGTCAGAGTCCTGATGTGGTCCTGTAAGATAAGCACTGGACTGCTCAGGGCAAAGTCAGCAGGTCAAACCCACCAGAACTGCCAAACTTTTAGTTAGCATCTGAACACCTGACTCACTGCACCACCAGAAAGACCAGACCTGTCTCTTTGTTGGGGTGGAGGTGGAAAAGAGATGCTTTCTTCTTCCTGGGGGAGTACACAGCAGCACACACAGAGGCTAACAAGGAAGCATCTGCTCATTTTCGGTCTTTATAATAACAGTTATAGACGTGTTTGTTGAGCCCTACACATGTGCTGTCTTCAAGCACAATGAGTGGATGGGGTTTCCCTGAGGTGATGGGGCAGGTGCCAGATGACCCTGAGGACAAAGTACTCTTTCAAAATTAGTGATTTTTCCCCATAGGTGCTTTAGAAGGCTATGGCGTTGATTCTCGGTGTCCTCAAAGGGAGGATGTGTTGGTTGTTGTAGGTGTATCGTGGTAGGTAATTTAGTGACCACAGTGTGGACTCCTTGGAGGGTGTTTCCTGAGCCTGTGTTGAATGACTTGAGAGCAGTCTCCATCATTTGGGTCTCTTAGAGTCAACCTGGGTTCAGATCAGATGGGAGAACCTTCTACTGGTGAATCCACATGGGTTTACAGCTGAACATGCATGACTGAGCAAATTAAAGGGAAGCACTGATTCGTTGGCAGTCCTGGTAGTATAGCTGAGCTGCTAATCACAAGGTCAGTAGTTCAAATCTACCAGTTGCTCTGGGGGGGAGGGGAAGATAAGGCTTTCTGCTCCCATAAAGATTTATAGCCTTGGAGACAGTCTACAAGCTCTCTGTGAGTTGGAACTGACTCCAGGGCACACCACCACCACCACCACCACTGACTCCTTGAAGCTTGGACCAGGAACGTAGCCCCTCCTACAAATTCAATACCCCCAAACCTAAAGTGATTTCATTCATTTCTTCCCTTTGTCTGTCTGTCCAACTACCTGCCTGCCCAGTTGTGCTGTACTCGGTGCAGATTTTCACAGGGAACATTCCTGGGGCAGGAACAGATGCCAAAGTCTACATCACCATCTATGGGGACCTGGGAGACACAGGGGAGCGGTACCTTGGCAAGTCAGAGAACCGCACCAACAAGTTTGAAAAAGGAATGGTATGATGTCTCACTGGGCTTCCTCTCCTCTCACCTCCACCCCAGACCCAGGCACCTAAGGCCAGCATTTCCTGGCCCCTTAGGACAGTTTGGGAACTTTGTGATGTGTCATGCATTCTTACCTGGCCTTTTCCCCTTGCTCCCATCCCCACCCTGTGATAGAGACTTACATGGTCCCTGCCTTAACTTATACACACATCTACCTGCCCTGAATATTGGAGTGCAGGTAGAGCAAAAGTTAGGGTTTGGGCAAGCCAGAGGGCAGTGTGAAGTTCTGGGCTGTGTGGGAATGGGGCACTTCCAAAAAACTCATCCTGCTGAATTTTCCTGAGCATGAAGGTGAGCACTGAGAAATAACAGGGGCTGAGCTAACAGAAACTCAGACTGGGGGTGTGAATCAGAGGCCAGAAGCCTGGTTCTGCCATCAGCTCCTTGTCTGAACTTCTCTGTCCTCAGCCCTTGGCAGCATCAAGGTCCTAGAAACCGCTGGAGGTGGAAGGGAACTGAAGGCACCTACTCCACCCAGGTGGATCCACTTTGACCTGGTCTATCCGGGTCCAAGCAAGCCCTTTATCAAACAAAGCATTCTGGGCTATAACACAGCTCGGCAATCACTGGCTGGCTGGTGCCTTCAGCTGCATCCAGCTCTAGTGAACTTTGACTTTACAAACAGGAAGAAATCTGATGCAGAGGGGCTTCTGGGGCAAGTGTCACTACACTTTCCCTCCTTCCAACTCAACACCCTCTCTCAGCCTCAGATCTTCTCTCCCGTGCCCTTCTGACCTTACTGCCTTCACTTGCTCCTCAGCCTCTTTGCCTTCTCCTCTCCATCCCCTAAATCTTCCTATCAGTCTCCCAGGCCAGGCTGTATCCACAGAGGTGATGGGCTCCTACCCCAGTGATGCAGGTGAGAATTTATCAAGTGTGTCCTGTGTCCTGCTGCTAGACGAGGTGCATTCCTTAGTTCAGCCACTGCTCCTGGTGAGTGGGCATCAGCTGAGTAGGTCTGCAGGAGAGACACAGCAAGGCCCTCAGGAGTCCACCAGGCTCTCCTCTCATCAGCTCCATCCAGATACAAACCACTTGCTTCTCAGCTTGGGTTTTCCTGCCCCTGAAGTGGGACTAGTCCCCTGGATTGAAAATGGGTGGAGAGAAGTAAGAATACTTTGTCTCCACACACATGAGACATCATTGTTCATGCCGTGGTAAAACCCAAATCCTCCTCTTTCCAGCTGGAGAGACGGAATGTCAGAGAGAAAGGGACTGGCCCTAATCTTGGATTCTTCACTAGTCATGCCCTCACCAGGCACACTCATAAATACACCGTGCACTAGGGCAGCACCAAGGAGCCCTGGAGGTATAGTGGGTTGTACACTGAGATTCTAATCACAAAACCAGCCATTTGAATTCACCAGCTACAAAAAAGGAGGCTTTCTTCTCTCATCAAGATTTATAGCCTCAGAAGCCCTACATAGGGTCGCTGTGAGTCAGAATCGACTTTATGGCAGTGAGTGGTGGTGGGTGGGGAAGGTAGGTCCTGGCATCCAGACATTGGATCTTTGGATTCAGCTCCTGGTTCTGGCACTTACAAGCTGTGTGATCTTATTATTTAAATCTCTGTGCCTGCCTCCTCCACTGTAAAATAGAGCCATTGTCTGTTATGACTCATAGTGACCCTGTCTAGGGTTTCCAAGGAATAGCTGGTGGGTTTGAACCACCAACCCTGTGGTTAACAGTCTACTGGTTATCCTACAGTGCCACACCAGGATTCCATAAAACAGAGTTAAGTGTGGTGAAGTGTGAAAGTTAAATGAATCAGAACATCTGAGGTACGATCCACGGCACAAAGTAGGCACACAGTAAACATTTGCTGAGTGAGTGCATGAATTAAGATAGTGATGAAGGTGGCACGGAGGGCCCTGGAATCCGCATGTTATTGTGTTAGAGATCTGGGCTCCTGAGCCAGATCTGTTCAGCCCAGCTCCTGAGGGGATGGAAGGTATTGGATGTATAAGGTTGAGTGGGTTGAGCTAGAGAGCTGGCCCTCATCTTGTCCACACTTCTGGACTCTGCAGGCCGACACCTTCATTATCGAGGCTGCTGACCTGGGCGTCATCTACAAGATCAAACTCTGCCATGACAACAGCAAATGGTGCGCAGACTGGTACGTGGAGAAGGTGGAGATCTGGAATGACACCAACGAGGATGAGTTCCTCTTCCTGTGTGGGCGTTGGCTGTCCTTGAAGAAGGAGGACGGGAGGCTCGAGAGGCTCTTTTATGAGAAGGTGCTGTGAGGAGAACCCGGGGGAGGCTCTGTGGGGCAGAAGTGGCAGGGGCGCACTGAGCCTGAGCCCTGATCTTCCGGACAGGAGTACACTGGGGACCGGAGTAGCAACTGCAGCAGCCCCGAAGACTTCTGGGAGATCGCTCTGAGTTCCAAGATGGCCGACATCGACATCAACACTGTGACGGGGCCCATGGTGGACTACGTTCAAGAGGGCCCAGGTAGGCCATCTGAGAATTCTTTAGAGGAGGATGAGGCAGGTGGCAATGTTTTAAAATTACTCTTTAATGGGCTCTCCAGTTCCACCATCCTCTGACTTACACTTTATAATTAACACATAGTTTTCATATTCTGCTGAGTTTCAACCCTGCAGCATCCCTGTGAGATGAGAGGACAGGAGTTGTCTCTCTTTTACAGATTAGGGAATGGGGGTAGATTTGGTTCAGTGGTAGAATTCTCAACTTGCATTCAAGAGATCTGGGCTCAATTCCAGGCCAGTGTACCCCCACCTGCAGCCACTGTTGGTGTGTTGCCGTGATGCTGAAACAGGTTTCAGGGAGAGCTTCCAGACTCAAACAGACTAGGAAGGAATTGCTGGTGGCCTGCTTCTGAAATCATCCAATGTCAACCCCATGGATCATAGCAGTTTGATACACAACAGATCACGAGGATGGCACAGGCGTTGTGAGCCAACTGGACAACAGCTAACAACAACAGATGGGAAAGCAAAGACTAAAAGAAGTGAGGGTGCTAATGGCCTAAAAAGGAGCCCCAGTGGTGAATGGTTTAATATTCAGCTGCTAACCCAAAGGTCGGCTATTCTAACTCAGTTCTCCATGGAAGAAAAGACTTGGCAATCTGCTTCTAGACACCCTATGGGCAGTTCTATTTTGTTCTGTAGGGTTGCTGTGAGTTAGAACCAACTCAATGGCACCCATCAATGGCATGCCTTCAATCCACTGAATCATCCTCAGGAGTGTGTTATTATGAACTGTGCCTTTGTCCTTACTCACAGAATAGGGAGCCAGCCTAGAGGGCCTAGGATAGCTCTCATGAGACATCATGTAACAGTAACTGTGAGAATCCCTTACATGTCAGGAGCATACCTTGGCCTCTCATTCACACTAACTAAGGCCTGATATGGTATGTGGTGGGGGAGAAGTACTGAGCTGGTTGTTTTGGGACTTGAGCTCTGTTTCTGGTTCTGATGATAAAATATCTGTCCTTGGACAAGTCAGTTGATTCTCACGACTTCAGTTTTCCCCACTTCCATAGAACAGTATTGTAATCCTCTCACAAGTTCATTTTACTAAGTTTTGTGATAAAGGTAGGTTTATGCTTGTCTTTGGAGTCTTGGCTAACGCTATAGGATAAGCACTGGACTGCAAGGTCATTTGAACCTTAAAGTCAGTGGTTCAAACTCACCAGCCACTCCTTGATAACCCTATACGGGGTTGCTATGAGTCGGAATCGACTTGACAGCACTTAACAACATGCTTGTCTATTGGACATCCAGGTGTATGGCCTTTCTGTTCAGTTCTCTTAAACATAAAAGCATGAACACTGCTCTATGCCCCTCCAGGAGACCCACACTGTGGGTCTGTGGGTGAGGGCAGAGAGAGCCAATCTGTTTACACTCCACCTTCTCATCATGTGACTAAATGACAGGACTCACGGGAAAGGCCTCTCCTTAGTTAAGCACTATGATCACCAGAGGAAAGTCCAGTGGGGTCTCCTTATAAAGATAAAGCAGGCATGGGCAGTTGCAGAGGATGCTGTAGGTAGTTGCTGCCAGGAAGGGCTGGTTAGAAAAACTTTTCAAAGAGCTACAAATTTGTATAGTGGGATGTCAAAGTCTCTTCAAGCTATTGAAGAAGATAGACTTGAAGAAGGATTTCAGCTTGCATCAATTAGTAACTTCCAGTAGCAGAGACTTGGAGACAGCGACTTAAACAAATTTGTTTCTTTTTTCCCCTCCTCACTTAAAAGTAGTTCAAAAGTAGGTAGTTTGAGACTGGCACAGCTGGTCTGTGAATTCAAGGATCTAGACTCCTTCAATTTGTTCATTTGACAACCTTGCAAGCAGCTTCCATCCTAAAGGTTGCTCGTGGTTCTGAAATGGCTGCTGGAGCTCCACCCAACACAACCACATTCCAAACAAAGTGAAAGGAAGGAGAAGGGCCCAAAGGCTGCTCCTTTCAGCTGAGTCAGTCCCTTTACAAAAGATTTCCCCAGAAGCCTACCCAACAACTGTTCCTTACATAGCATTGTCACTCCTAGCTACAAGTGGGCAACTAGAAGTCCAGGTCACACTACCTGAGCAGGTTTTTATATTGATAAATCTCGTTTGTTTTGGAAATGGGTGCCTACCATAACTACTAGTTACCATATTACATGTATGTTGTTATTGGTTGCTGTTGAATCCATTTCGACTTATAGCAACAACCCCATGTGACAGAGTAGAACTGCCCCTAGGGTTTTCTAGGCTAGAATGTTTATGAGAGCTGGTTGTCAGATCTGTCTCTCGCAGAGCCACTGGGTTAGTCTCAGCCTCCAACCACTCAGCTAGCAGCTGAGCACTTAAGCATCGTACCACCAAGGCTCCTATGTTACATGCTTTCCTTCCAAACTCCTACTTTTCATAAGACCTCTTTTAGCTGACCATGGTCAGCTTTCCAGGTGTGTAAGTCCCTAATGCAGTGGGCTCAAGCATAGCAACAATTGTGACGCTGGCACAGGACCGGGCAGTAGTTTATTCTGTTGTTCATATGGTCGCTATGAGTCAGTACCGACTCGATGGCACCTAACAACAACAGCCCCTGTATGTAGCAAGGACCTATTGTTCTTACCATGTTTCACATAAGATTGCTCAGTTCACCTAAGATAATTGGTCCAGAGGGTTCTAGAAATTTGACATTCCAAACAAGTGGTATTGATACTCTATTTGGAGTTACCAGCTTCTGTCTTCTCTAGGAAAAGGGCTACTCATACCGACAATTCACTTGTCTGAGCAGCTCCATGCCTTCTGGGTGGCAGGCTTCTAGAGGGCATGTTCAAATCTGGAGTCCAGTGGGCAGTGCCCTTTGTCCTCCTGGCCCATTGGGAGGCTGAGTCTCCGTCTCTTGCAGTTATTCCTTACTATGTGTCAGTCACCACCGGGAAACACAAGGATGCGGCCACCGACAGCCGGGCCTTCATCTTCCTCATCGGGGAGGATGATGAGCGAAGTAACCGGATCTGGCTGGACTACCCCCGAGGGAAGAAGGGCTTCAGCTGTGGCTCTGTGGAGGAGTTCTATGTGGCAGGCTTGGATGTGGGCATCATCAAGAAAATAGAGGTGCTGACCATTGGGGCCCCATGAGAATTACTAGCCCAGAGAAGGAAAGGCTGACCATGGCAAGCTAGAGCTGCTCATTACATGGGTGGGAGGAAATTTAGAGTGGGAAAACAGTCAACCTGGAGCCCAACCGCAGAGCAGGTAGTGGAGGGAAGTCCCCTGGCCTCTACCATCAACTCGCTGTAAACTCTTGGGTGAGCCATTGGCCCTCTGGGTCCTAGTTTTCTAGCTGTCTAGTTCAGACACCCCATGCATGCATTTTCTTTTGCTATATAACAAATTTAGTAGCTTAAAACAACACAAATTTGTTCTCTCTTAGTTCTGTAAGTCAGGAGTCCAGACCTGGGTGAGCTTGGGTCCTCTTCCCAGGAGCTCACTGAGCTAACATCACAATGTCTGCTGAGGCTACAATCCCATCTGAGGCTCAGTATCCTCCTCCAGGCTCGCTGATGGTTGGCAGAACTCGGTTCTTTGGGGTTGTGAGACTGAAGGTCTTAGCTCTTTGGAGCTAACCCATTATTCCCTGACATGCAGATCACTTCCCAGCAAGGCCAATAAGCAAAGATTTTTTTCTGCTTCAGATATTCCTGGCTTTTCTATCTCTGATCTCTTGTCCCTCTTTTAGAGTTGACTGATTAGGTTAGGCTCACCTTTTGATGCACTTAAAGTCAACTTAATTACGTCTGCAAAATCTCTTTGTCTTTGCCATGTAACATAACCTCACCACAGGAGTCACATACCATTCATACTCAAATGGAGGTCATCCATGGTGTCTACTCCAGGAGTTAGAATTCTTGGGGTCATTTTAGAACTGTGCCGGCCACACTCTGGCACGTGTGAGACTTGTACGGATGTTTTCTTCACAGTCTCTTCCTGGTGTCTTCCATACCTTGCCTCTCTCAACTTTATTCCTGCTGCAGCTCCTGCCTGGAATGCCTTTCCTGTTCCCACCATCTCCACTTAGAAACCATTTCAGCCTTTAATAAAGTCACAGCATAGCAATCCATGTGCCCAGGCTGGCTGGGCGCTTCTCAGAGATCTTCCCAAACCCAACATGATAGCATCACTATTGGCATGTCTCTCCTCTCATGACACTGTGAGCCCCCTACAGGGAGGACTGGCCTGGCCCACTGGCGCCCCTGCCCCTAGCCTGTGCTCATCACAGCTTCACTGAGTGAGTGGAGGCACCGAGTGCCATTCTGTACAGTCACTGCACTTGGCACTGAGAACACAGAGAAGGAAGGGCATCTCTCTGCCCTGAAGGAGCCCACAGATGATGGGGACACAGGTGTGTCTGTACACACCACTTCTGCCACCTAGATCTGACCACCCCCATGCCCTTGCTTGAGCCACAGAGGGCTGTTTTTGCTTGAGAATGTTGGTTTTCCACTTACTCTTACAGTGAGATTACTCTGAAGGAGAAAGAAGTGACTGGGGGTAGAAGGGGGGGACAGTGCCTACTGGGGGGTAGAAGGGGAGCCTAGGAGGGTCTCCTGCCCCATGAAGCCTCACCACTAGGAACTGTGAAGACTGAGATTTCATAGTACAGAATGCATTTTTTGGTGCTAAACAGTATCCTCTCTCGGACCCCTTTGTGGTGTGAACCCTCTGGAGGACTGGGCTGGGGAGCTAAGAAAAGAGTAGCATTCAGTTAATGCCCCCCAGCAATGGCACCTGTGGTCCATCAAGTCTGTGCCCCTCTAGCTCAGAAGACTTGGGCCAGTCAGTGCAGGGCACATTGGAAGAGGGCACTGGGCAGGGAGGGCTTCTTCGCTCTTGTGCCCCGATTCTCATGGACCCAGTGTGTCCCCTCCCAGCTGGGCCATGATGGAGCCTCCCCTGAGAGCTGCTGGTTGGTGGAGGAGCTCTGCCTGGCCGTGCCCACTCAGGGCATCAGGTACACACTGCGCTGCAACTACTGGCTCGCCAAGGACCGAGGTGACGGCGTCACTTCCCGAGTCTTTGACCTCCTGGATGCCATGGTGGTGAATATAGGGGTGAAGGTATGTGGATGTGCATGGCATGGGTGGTGCAGGTTCGGTGGAGGGGCAGCAGTGGAGGAGAGGGTGAGGGAAGCAGGAGACTGGTCGCTGGCAGAGGGCTGCAGCCTGCTGCACTGGCGAGATTTGCTTGCTGGCAGTCAGGAGATGGAAGTCTGTTCTAGTCTACTGCTGTGTGACCTTGGGCAAGTCACCTGGCTTTTCTAGGCCTAGGTCTTCTCATCCTTGGCAGGGCAATCACACTTCTCACTCTGGTCCACAGAAGAGCTTTGTGAGAACTAATAAGATCATGGGCATCCATGAAGAGCTACATAGACTTCCAGGGTAAAGGATGGTGGGCACGATGGCATTTGGGACAAGCAGCTGTCATTACAAGATCCTCCTCAACTGCTAAAGGCTGGAGGCAAGAGCCCTGAGCTGGTAACCTGATTCCAACTGTAAGGGACCAAGTGGTCTGGGATAAATTGTCAACCCAAAGATTGGTCAGGAGACAGGACACCCAAGCTTGGGACCTGAGGACACACATCCAGCTGGTGGCTCAGAGGAACGCCAGCCCACCTGACTCTGATCCTCTTTCATTATGAAAGCTGTGGGGTCAACAAGGGGCCCAGTCCTCATCCCTCTTCCTGACTTTATACCTAGACTGCTGGGACTAGGTCAGAAGCCGCCCGGTAAAGGCAAAAAGACGCCGCTTTGGGCGGCGCCTTGGGCCTGGGTGCACTCCGCCTAGTTTAATGTGGAAGTAGAAGAGGGCTGAGTCCTAAGGCCATGGTGCTGAGAGGCAGGAGTGAGGGTCCCTGCCCCTCCTCTACTAGGGAGCAGAGCTTTAAACTTCACACACGTTTCCTTTCCCAGACATCTCCATCTAGGCCGGCGGGGCTGTGGGTGAGCTCTCAATTTACCCAGGCACCTCCCACCCTGACCCTGTTCCCAGTGCTCATGTGGGCATGTGTGTGTCTATCTGTGTGATCCTGTGTGTACCTGTGTGTACCTGTGTGTGTGTGTTGTATGTTCCTGTGGGTATCTATGTGTGTGCCTGTGTGTGCTTACATGTGTCTGTATGTGTGCCCTTATGTGTCGATATGTAGGTCTGTGTGTGCCTGTGTCTGCTAGTATGTGCTTGTGTGTTGATATGTGTGCCTGTTTGTTTCTGCCTATGCATGTGCCTGTCAACATGTGTATCTATGTGTGCTTCTGTGTGTGTCTGTGTGTGCTTCTGTGTGCATCTCTGGGTGTGCCTGTGTGTATGTCTGGGTGTGTCCGTGTGTGCTTCTGTGTATGTCTGTGTGTGCTTCTGTGTGTCTGTGTATGTCTGTGTGTGCTTCTGTGTGTCTGTGTGTGCTTCTGTGTGTGCCTGTGTGTGTCTGTGTGTATGTCTGGGTGTGTCCATGTGTGCTTCTGTGTGTGTCTGTGTGTGCTTCTGTGTGTCTGTGTATGTCTGGGGGTGTGCTTCTGTGTGCATCTCTGGGTGTGCCTGTGTGTATGTCTGTGTATGTCTGTGTGTGCTTCTGTGTGTGTCTGTGTGTGTCCATGTGTGCTTATGTGTGTATGTGTCTGTGTGTGCTTCTGTGTGAGTCTCTGGGTGTGTCTGTATGTATGTTTGTGTCTGTGTGAATCTCTGGGTGTGACTGTGTGTATTTCTGTTTGTGTCTGTGTGTGCTTCCGTGTGTGTCTGTGTGTAAGTGTGCATCTCTGGGTATGCCTGTATGTATGTCTGGATGTGCCTGTGTGTCTATCTGTCAGTACCTGTGTGCATGTCTGGGTGTGTCCATGTGTGTTTCTGTGTGTATGTGTGTGTATGTATGTGCCTCTGGATGTGCCTATGTGTATGTCTGGATGTGCCTGTGTGTCTGTCTGTCAGCGTCTGCCTGTGTGCATGTCTGGGTGTGCCTCTGTGCATGTCAGCACGTGCCTTTGAGCGTGCCCCCACGCACCCCCTGAGCTCTCTGGTGATGCCAATCCAGATCCACTCCTCTGTTATTCAGTTGGTAAAACATCTCACCACAGGGTGCTGTGGCTTGGCCATGCCCCCAGTCTGTCTGATGTCAGACTGGAATGACAGAAGCTCTGCTTCTCTGTCTCTTTTTGGAAACAAATGTATTACATAAAAAGAGATGGACCTGGGTGAAGGAAGACAGACGGGTGTGGAGAGCAGAGGAGTCGGTTGGGGAGTGGCCCAGAAGCCCAGGGACTGTATCCAGGGAGCCCCGAAACACTCACTTTAATCATTCTATCTGTTTCATGTCTGTCTGCATAAAAGCTTACAGTGGCCATTTAAAATGCGCTTTTGTCCCCAGCCCCTGATCTCAAACACCCTTGTTAGGTGGTTGAAGAGGGTTTTCCTGGTAAATCAAAAACTCTTCCATACATTCCCTCTGCAAACTAAACTTCTCCCATGGAGGCCTGCAAACACCACTTCTAATCTTGCAAGGCCACAGTGATGGTTCTAGAGGCTGTTGAAAAGCACCCAACAGCGAACACACAACATTGGGGTGTGATCAATGAGTTCAAAGCCTTCTGTTGAAGTGATGAAGCAGCATGTTGGCCACAGTGGAAGAGATGGGCCAGGTGTGTTAAAGGAGACAGCCTAGACTTTCTTCCGCCTCTCCTGAACCGCACAGATATGATTGCTAACCCTCAGGCACATGGTGAGTAAGTATCCCGGACACTCTCAAGCCCTGGGGAAGGTGATAAAGAGTAGAAGACCCCAGAGTGGAGAAGTAGCCCACTCCGTCACCCTCTCTTGGAGACAGAAGAACGGCATCCTTTTTGGAGTTAAACCTGAGACAAAAAGCAAATTCCAACCTACAGTAAAATGATGTAAAGGCAATGGTCCCACTTCACAGATGGACAGAAGCAGCACTTTGTTTAGCTTCACCTACAGTGCCATTTTGCTCTCAGATGCCCAGGGATTGTGCTGACAGAGGGCTGAGAACCAAAAACTAGCCAGAACCTCGGAGACCTGGGTAACACCAACAGTTAAGTGCTCAGCTACACGCTGCAAAGATTGGCAGTTTGAGCCCTTCTAGAGGCATCTCGGAGTCTTGGTGTGGCATTGCGGGTTAATGTGCTGGACTGCAAGGTCACTTTCAAATGCAAAGTCTGAGGTTCAAGCTCACCAGTCACTCTTCAGAAACCCTATACAGGGCCGCTATGAGTTGGAACTGGCTCAACAGCAGTTTATACCACCAACAACAGAGACACCTGGGAAGATGGGCTTGTTGATCTGCTTCTGAAAAATAACAGCCCTGAAAACCGTGTAGAGTTCTACTCTTCACAAATGGGTCTCCAGGAAGCAGAACTAACCAGAGTTGCTGCTGTTTCTGGAAGCTAGGTCCCGTAGCAAGCCAGCACTGAGGGCTGATACAACACGTCTGTAGCTTTCACAACTCTGCGAAATTGGTTTCTCTCTATTTTACATGGCGGAAGCAGGGACTGACGAGGAGACATCTGCCCTGGAGTCAACAGCTAGCAGGTGGCAGATTTGGGATTCAAACAGTGCTCTGGAGGGCTCCAAGAGTCTCTGCACACTCTACTAGAATGGGTGGGCTCAGGCAAGTGCTGTGGATTGAATTTGGTCCCCCAAAAGATATCAAGTCCTAACCCCAGTACCTGTGCATGTGACTTCATTGAGAAATAAGACTTTCATTGCAGATGTTGTCAATTAAATTATTGGGGTCATATCAAGGTCATTTGGCACAACATAATCCAAATAAAATGTTTTACATTCTACTTTTGTGAGTAGTGCCTGGGGTCTTAAAAGCTCATGGTAGTCATCTAAGATGCAACTATTGGCTCTCCCCTCCCAAAGCAAAGAGGAAGGAAGAAAATCAAAGACACATGGAAACAATTAGTCCAATGGACTCATGAACCACAGAAAGCTCAGCCTCCACAATCCTGAGACTAGAAGAACTAAGTGATACCTGGCTACCATTACCTACCACTCTGTTCTAGACCACAGAAGGTTCAGGACAGAACAGGAGAAAAATGTGGAACAAAACTCAAAATCATAAAAAAAGACTAGACTCACTGGTGTGAGAGACCAACCCTGGAACTAAACTCACTCCTGTGACTCAGCTTTCAACTAAACAACAGGCAGGTCTATAAGAAGCAACCATTGTTATCCAAGGATAACACTCAGAAGGTAGGAAGAGAGAGGCTAGAAGGGCAAATGGAAATGGTGAACATGGAGGAAGTGGAATGAGCCCTGTTGCATTGTGGGGATTACAATCAATGGCATGAAACAAAATGTACATGAATTGTTGGGTGGAAAACCAATGTGCTTTGTAAACTGTCACCCAGATCACATGCTGAAGGAATTTTGATTAGAGAGGGAAAAAATGTTAAGAAGTTAAGAAGGTCATGCTGGACTAGGGTGGGTCCCATCTGAATGACATCTTATAAAAGTGGACAAAAGACACCAAAAACACAGGAGGGAGACAGCTGTCATGTGACGGTGCATCTTTCAAGAGACAAGGAACACCAAGAAATGCTGGGGACTACCAGACATTAGACAAGACAAGGAAGGATCTTTCCTTTAAGGCATGACTCTGACTACTCAGTGAATTCAGACGTCTCGTCTCCAGAGTTATGAGACATTGATTTCTGCTCTTTAAAGCCACCTACTTTGTGGGCCCTAGGTAGCTAAGATAGTTGGGATTCAGTTTACAAAAACAACCAGTTAATGTTGGGACTTGCAGTCATGTGTTCCTCCACAGAGTGAGTGCTCCATCAGACACTGAGCTCCTCTCTAGCCCTGACAGGGACATAGCAGGGGACAGGAGAGTGATGAGGCCTGACTCTTGCTGTCCAGACACTACAGTGGAGACAGTGGCTCTTTTCAAAGACTTGAAACTTGGGAAGTATGCTGTCTTCTTTCCCTGGTGAGGGTGGGACCCGTTGCACAGAGTCATTAGGGGGACCAGAGTTCATATCCTTATCCCCACCTCATGGCAGGTGCTCTACGAGATGACGGTATGGACCGGCGATGTGGTTGGCGGTGGCACCGACTCCAACATCTTCATAACACTCTACGGCATCAATGGCAGCACAGAGGAGGTGCAACTGGACAAAAAGAAGGCCAGGTCTGAGAGGAGGTCCCACTACCCCCTCCTCACACCCAACTCCCCACTCTCTGGGCCTGGCCTGCCATCAGCTAAGCTGATTCTCTCATGCTCCTCTCGTACCTTGGTGTTTTCCAGCCTCTGCTCTTTTCCACATGATTCTTTCCTCCTAGAATGCCACTTTCTTCTGTCTCAAGACCTATTTCAAGGGCCAACTCAAATCTGTCTCCTCCAAGAAGTCTTCCTTGATTTTACCTGAGCTCATAACAATGCTTTTCCTTTTTCCTCCTCTTCCTTCCTCCTTCCTTCTCTTCCTTCCTTCCTCCCTCCTTTCCCTCTACCACTCAAAAATATCTAGGGCAAGATCTGTAGGTAAGTTGATAGCATTGTTTTGTTGTTGTTAGGTGCTATTGCATAACAGAGCAACCCTCCTCCCCCCTCCCCCCACCCCAGTCCTGCACCATCCTCACATTTGTCACACTTGAACCCATTACTGCTGCCAGGGTACCAATCCACACATTGTTGGGGGTCTTTCTCTTTTCTTTCTGACTCTTCTTTTTACCAAGCATGAATATCTTTCTCCAGAGACTATGAGAAACTCCAAAAGAACAGGTCTGAATTATGAACTATGAAGTTTCACCATCCTGGCTTCTCAGGAGCACTCAGGCTGTATTTCATCCAATACAGACCTGTTTGTTCTTCTGGAAGTTCATGGTACCTTCAATATTCTCCAACACCACAACTCAAATGCACCAATTCTTCTATGATTTTCCTTATTCATTGTCCAGATTTTTTTCCCAATCACTTATTTTATTTGTATTGTTGAAAATATGCACAGCTAACTAAACATACACAAATGCAACACTGTCTACATATACAATTCCATGACAGTGATGACGTGTTTCACTTGTGCAGCCGTTCTCACCCTTGGTTTCCTAGTTGATCCTCCTTCGTTAACATCAACTCGCTGCCACTTAAACTCCATATTTAATCTTCCAAGGTGCTCCTCTTAGTTTGATCCCATGAAGATAGTTCTTCAAAATAGCACAATTCTCAAGGCAGACATTTTTCACTAAATCGGGATTTTTCGGCTTCAGGTTTAAAGCAAAAGATTGAAGAAGGCAATAGTTTCAGGGATCCATCTATCCTCAGTGGCTCCAGAAATCTGGAGTCTATGAAGATTTGAAGTTCTATTATGCATTTCCCCCCTTTTGATCAGGATTCTTCTATAGAAACTTTCATCAAAATGCTGTGTGATCCAGGCACCCATAATCCAAATGTCACCGAGTCAGACTCCTAGCAGCCCTGTATAGGGTTTCTGAGGAGCAGCTGGTGGATTTGAACCACCTACCTTGTGGTTAGCAGTCCAGTGCTGATCTACAGTGCCTGTCCAGGGCTCCAAGCCTAGGATTTCAAAACCCACCTCAGCCGTTTGCCTATAGGCCACATTATTCCCTTCCCGAAACTTGTCACAGCTCTGAGGTATGCAAGGCATGAGCACTTGGGGTACATCTGGATGGTCATGGTGAGGATGCTGAGGATGCTGAGGATGGCGGTGCTGATGGAGCGATAAGGGTGTTGAAGCTCTTGTAAGCCAGGCTAGAGTTTCTTCCTATGGACAGAGCAGCTTATAAACCTGAGAGCTGATGAGAACATTTTTACCCGCTTTCTCTTAGCTCTTCTGCGTTCTCATTGTACAACTCCTGTTTCTTCCTGTAATTCTTCCCTCAGCAACTAGGGACAATGATGATGATAGTAGTGGTTAACACTGATTGAACTCTATGCCAGACACTGTCTCAAGTGTTTTTAATATAGATCAACTCACAATACCCTCTGTAGTATTCACCAGTATCAGCACCACTTTACAAGTAAGGTACCTGGGACTCTGCAAGGTGAAGTAGCTTGCTGAACCCTTTCCTTGGGGAGGGAACAGAAGGAAACTGGAATGAGACAGAAGTCAGGTGTGGCCACAGGCAGCTCATCCCAGATGTCACTCTTCAGCTGACATCAATTCTGACTTAGAGGGACCCCATGTGACAAAGTAGGGGGCTTTGGTTAATATTTTTACAGAAGTAGATCACCAGATCTTTTCCTCTTGAAACTGCTGGGTGGGTCCAAACTACCTACCTTTTGGTTAGCAGTCAGTTGCTTAACCATTGCTCCACTAGGGCTCTCAGCTACAGAATGGAGGCTCTTTTACTAGATGACCAGGTATCCCTTGGGTCACTTTTATAGTCCATCTTTTTCTGCCAGGGTAAAAGTGGGGACCTGGTTGTCTCTCAATGGCCCATCATTATGGAAGACCTTCAGTTTATTTACCACCACTCGTCTGTCAGTTTGCTGTACTGTGTTGGAAGAAGTGCAGCCAGAATGCTTTTTAGAAGCCAGGATGGCCAGACTTCATCTCTCATACTTCAGACATAGTATCAGGAGGGATCAGTCCTGGAGCCAGACGTCATTCTTGGTAAAGTGAAGGGTCAGTGAAAAAGAGGGTGATCCCCAACAGTGGCAGCAGCAATGGACTCAAGCATAGCAATAGTTGTGTGGATGGCTCAGGACCAGGCAGTGTTTTGTTCTCTTGTGCATAAGGTTGCTGTGAGTCCATACCATAAGGAATCGATGAATAGACAGATGATTTCAGTGAACCTCCATGTACAATATGACCCCAACACGGGAATTTGTGAGCACATCCATACAGTTTTCACATGACCAAGGCCAGGCAGAACTTAAATTAGAACAGAAGAGATTTAGGGTAGACTTTCAGAAGAGCTTTACTGTTGTAAGAAGCATACAATGCACATGAGCAAGTTATCAAGAGACAAGGTCTCTTTTCCACAGTGCCTTTAAGGCAAACCATTTACAACTTCCAGCAAGATGGGTACCATAGAGACCTTCTCCAGCAAAAACACGAGAGACCAAATGAAACAGTCCAATGATAACGCTGGAACGCTGATCTTCAGAGGAAAGGAGAGAGACGAGGATTGAATACCAACTAGGAGAAGCAGCTTAATAAAAGACATGAGAGGAGACAGACGGGTGAGCTGTCAGCTAGCCTGACTCAGCACAGCCATTTTGAAATTTTACAAGCAGTATTCGATTGAAAGAGAGGCCTAGCAACAAAAGTGCAATCCAGTTGCTGGCAACAAGAGTCTTGGGAATCATCCCTTGTTTCCCATGACCTCCTTGTGATCAGAAGTGTGACCAGCTGTTACCTTTGCCCACCATTAGCTGGGGACACTCACAGCACTAACACTGCCCCTGCTCTGCCTCAGACTGAGCTAGGCTGGATGCGTCTCCCACAGTCTGAAGGCATCTGGATTCAGCTTCATCAGACCAGCAGAACATGCCCAGGACTCCTTCCATAGCCAGCCGCTCTGCCCATGCCGCCCTCTGTACCCCAAAGCGTTCCTTCCAGGAGCAAGCATCCTGACCTCAGCCACCTTTTGAGATGGCAGGAACTACTTCCAGATCAGGTGCCCTGACCCCAGAAACATCTAGGCCTACAGGAACTCCATCTAGGACCTGGCCTTCCAGCCCCTTATTCTCCCCTGTGAGCGCCCTCCCCTGTGAGCGTACAGATTGCTGACCCAAATCAAGTGCCTTGCACCCCGCAGTTTTCTCCTCTCTGAGTTCTGCCCCACGTTTCTCCTTTGTTCCTTTCTTTCCATTCTCTTGTTTTCTATCCTTTTTTCCCTCTTTTATCCTTTCTTTTCTTTCTTTTCTTCTGTTTCTCTTTTCTTTTTTCCTTCCCTTCTTCTTTCTCTCTCTCTTTTTTTTTTTATCTTTTCTCTCAGTTTTTTTCTTTAATATTCTCATTGAGTTCTCTTTTTTCCCTGCCCTAGTTTTTCTTATTGTATTTCTTTCCTTTTTTCCCCTTTCTTATTTTTATTCTTCTTTCCTTTTTCCTGTTTAGATAATAATTTGTAAGGAACACGATTACAAAGTAAAAAGAGGGAATCACTCACGTACATAATTTCCAAATGGAGAGGATGTTGAGATTTCAAGACAGAATAAATTGTTTTAAACTTGGAAAGAAATTAATACACACATTATTTGGGTGAGGAGGAAGACAATATACAATTAAATAGATATGTGGGCAGAATAGGTCTGGAGGGAGATAGGCACATGCCCCAAAATATATGTAGGGCTGAGAGAGAATCTTTGTATCTAGGAATTTACCTTTGCTGCAAATATATCCAGATGATACACAGGTCTGTAAGGGGATGGTTAACATGAATGAAATAGGCAGATCTTAGAATAATCAATAATTTGATATCAAAAATAGGCACATCTTAGAATAATCAACAATTTGATATCAAAAGGAAGCTTGGAAGAGTTAGGAGAGAAGGCATGGACACAGAAAACAAAGGGGGAAGTTGGATATTACATTGAGGGTATTATCAGTGAGATGAAACAAAATGTGTATGAATTGTTGCATGTCAAACTGATGTAAAACTTCACCGAAGTCACAATAAAAGTTAAACAGACTATCCATTTGCCTGTCAAGTCAATCCCAACTCAATGGCAACCCCACATGTGTGAGAGTAGAACTGTGATCCATAGAGGTTTCAATGGTTGGTATGTTGGAAGTAGATTTCCAGACCTTTCTTCCAAAATGTCTCTGGGTGGACATGAATCTCCAACACTTTGGTTAGCGACATAGCATGTTAACCTTTTACACCCTGCCCTCCACCCCAGAGACTCTGCATTTAAGACTTGTTTTTGTTGTTGTTAACGCCATTGAGTGGGTCCCGACTCATAGGGACCCTACAGGACTGAGAAGAACTGCCCCGTAGGATTTCCCAGACGGTCATATTTATAGAAGCAAACTGTCACCTCTTTCTTCCACAGAGTGGCTAGTGGGTTCAAACTGCTGCACTTTTGTTCAGCAACCAAGCACTTAATCACTGTGTCACCAGCGGTCCTTCCTTTTAAGACTAAAAAGAAAACAAACCCAAAAAAACTGCCATCGAGTTGATTTCAACTCATAGACTCATATTGACCCTAAATAGGGTGTTTGAGACTATAAATCTTTATGGAAGCAGACAGCTTCACCTTTCTCCTTTGGAGTGGCTAGTGGGCCCTGGTAGCGTAGTGGTTACGAATCGGACTGCGAACCTTAAGGT